AAAGGAACAAAGGCCTCTGATAGCATGTCTGTCCAGGAGAAAGCCCCCTCTCCTGCCCTCACTCCAGTGCCAAACAGCTCAGTTCTTCCCTGTATGTCTCTGGTGCCTTTCAAGCTGCCTCCCCCACACTGGAGCCTGGAGGGTGCGAGTCTGAGTAAGTCCCTGTGCGGGCCCTTAAAGAGGAGCTGCCTGGGGCTCCAGCAGCCTCAGCCTCCCTGAGCCTGTTCCCACTGGTTTTTCCAGCCAGAAGTTATGGGGATTCTCTTCCTGGCACTGGAACCCTGAGCGGGGCACCTGGTGTGGGACGGAGACCCCTCAGTCCTCAGGAAGGACCTTCCCAGCCGAGGTGTCCTCTTGATTTTTATCCGCCACACGTGGGTGTGGGACCAGCCCTTCTGCCTCCACCCCTCCTACCAGTCTGGATGTGGCTTCTTCTTTAATTCCGTAGTTGTAGGACTCCCATTCCACTTGATTTCAGGCGGTTTTGAATGATGGTTGTTCTGTAATTTAGCTATAACTTTGAAGAGGTTGTGGGAGGACGCAATACCACGTTTACCTACGCCACCATCTTGACCGGAAGTTCCTGGCTTTAATTCTTTAGCAGAGAGAAAGGGGAGGTGGATTTCCAGGCCTAAGGAACAGCAGAAAGGAAAATGAACTATGGCTGGTGACTGCTCCCCTGGGAAGGAGGCCTTTAGGGAGAAAAGGAAATAACAGAATCAGAGCGCCTGTTTTCCAAGTGTTCCTTGGAAAGTAGTCCAAGGCAAAGCAGTCTTGGGAATGGCGGCAGTGTGGGGAATGTGATCTAGGCTTTATGGAAATCTCTATTGGTTAGTGTGGACTGCCACACAAAATACCACAGACTGGGAGGCTTCAACAATGAAATTATTTTCTCACTGTTCTGGAGGCTGGGAAGTCCAAGATCAAGGTGCTGCCTGATTTGACTCTGGGCAAGTCTCTCCTTTCTGGCTTGCAGATATTGCAGATGGCCACCTTTCACTGTGTCCTCACATGGATGGGAGAGGAGGGGGGAATGATGGGGGCGGGTGATAGCAAGCTCTCTAATGTCTCTTCTTATAAGGACACTAATCCTATCATATCGGGGCCCCACCCTTATGGCTTCATTTAACTTTAATTAACTACCTCCTTATAGACCCTATCTCCAAATACAGCCACCTCAAAGACTGGGGCTTCAACATAGGAATGCGGAGAGGGGCACAACTCAGCCCATAGCAGAATTTTTCTCTGGCATCTTTCTCCTGGTCATCCAGCTACTACATCAATGACTCTATTGGTGAGAAATCAATGCCTGTCAGTACTTCACTGTGGAAAAGCTCTAATGGTTAGAAAGCACAGGTGATTGGACATCTTATTTGCCTCCCCCAAACTTTAGTCTTTGCTTTCATGTTGTCACTTAGGATCATCACCAAAATAAATAAATAATAAATATTAAATCTCTCCCCTCATAGCAGCCCTTTAACTAAAGATAAATGTAGCAATTATGTATCTCAACCTACAAACTCAAGTTTGCAAGAAATATAATTTTCTAATTTTACCCAAGGGATGACTTAAAAAAAAAAAAATTTTTTTTATTGATTTTTAGAGAGAGAGGAAGGGAGATGGAGAGAGAGAGAGAGAAACATCAGTGAGAGAGAACATCGACTGGCCACCTCCTGCATGCCCCCACTGAGGATTTGGCCCACAAACTGGTTATGTGCCCTGACTGGGGATGGAACCAGCAACCTCTTGGTGCATGGTTTGATGCTCAACCACTGAGCCACACTGGCCGGGCAAGGGATGACTTTTAAAATCATCAAACTCAAGATTCTCCCTCCCCACTCACCCCTTCCTTTACCTCTAGCTACTAGGATCCAGCTCCTTAAAAAGTCTCCCTGGCCAGTTTGGCTCAGCGGTTAGAGCGTCAGCCTGCGGTCCTGAGAGACGCGGGTTCGGTTCCCGCTAAGGGCGCGCACCTCGGTTGCAGTTTGTCCTCGGCCCTGGTCGGTTGTGCGGGTGGCAGCCACTTGATGTGTCCCTTTCACATCGATGTTTCTCTCTCTCTCTCTGTTCCTCTCTCTCCCTCCCACTCTACCTGAACAAAAAATGGAAAAATGTCCTCGGGTGAGGATAAAAAAAATATATATATATATATAAAAAAAAGCAGTCTTGAAGGGAATGACACCTTATAAACTTCCTGCTCCAAAAAAACTTCCCCATCACAGAATGTTTGCTAATTACATATGTTTTACTGAAATTCCATGTGTTTGATTTATTTATCATACCATTAAATTAAAATATATATGGCTAGAATGTTATCGAAATTTCATGTATTATAAGTCTTATTGTAGTTTTTTGATCAGAGTAATGTCGAACTATTCAGAAGACTAATGCTACTACCATCCTGATGGGCACGTTTAAAAATTCCTTTTTTCTTTAATAAGAAACTTCCTCCTCCAGACCTTTTCTCTGGCCCTCACCCTAGTAAGATTCTGCACTATTGATTTTCTGCTAAGATAGGATTTTAAAATAACTTTTTGATTCACCCCAGTAAGCCAGAGCTTCTTAATTTTCTTTCAGTGAAATACCAGTAAGGGAAAAGGACAGAGAATGCAGTATGTAGCCGGAAGTAGCCCTAAACTAAAATTTTGTTCATGATTATGATTAAATCCTAATCAAAACTATACATTTTTAATTCTATTTCACTATACATCATTGCTTTAAGTACAAAAATGTTTCACTTCCCTAAATCTTTCAGTAAGTTGAGGCCACAGAAGAGTATGCCATGTTTACTTGGTGGCTTTGAATGAATTGGTTGATACACCTAAGAAAAACCCTTAACTCCCTACTTGAAAGGAGAGGAGGAGGCTTGGAGGAAAAAAAGAAGCAGTCCCCATTTCAGGGCCTTGCATGACAAAAAAAAAAAGTTTCAGTTTGGCCCTGGCCAGTTTGGCTCAGCGGTTAGAGCATCAGTCCGTGGACTGAGGGGTCTCTGGTTCGATTCCCAGTCAAGGGCATATACCTGGGTTACAGGTTCAATCCCAGCCCCTGTTAGGGTTGTGTGGGAGGCAACCAATCAATAAGGTCTCTCTCACATCAATGCCCCCCCCCTTCCCTTCCTCCCTCCCTTCTATTCTATCTAGAAATCGATGGGAAAATAACGACAACAAAAAATTTCAGTTTGGAAACCTGGGGTTTGTTTGCTATGTTTATCATGTACCTTAACCCTCATTCCCTTAGACCTTATTCCCCTGTATTGTTTGCAAACAGGACTTTCTATAGGACCATTAGAGCCTGAAAGGAGCATCCCTTCTGACTCATCACTCTCTTTCCAGGTAGCACATGTCCTGTTTAGCTAATATTAATGGAGCACTCACTATGTTCCTAGCTTCCTTCTAAATTCTTTACATTTATCAAGCCCTTTAGTCCTTCCCAAAAGCCAGTGATGAGGGCTATATTTTTATTTTTTTAATCCTCATTCGAGGATATTTTTCTATTTATTTTCAGACAGAGTGGGAGGGGGGGAGGTAGAGAGAGAGAGAGAGAGAGAAACATTGATGTGAGAGAGACATATTGATTGGTTGCTTCCGCAGGACCCTGACCAGGGCCAGGGACTGAACTGCAACTGAGGCACGTGCCCTTGACCAGAATTGAACCTGGGACTCTTTGGCCAACGCTCTAATCCCTGAGCCAAACCGGCCAGGGCGAGGGTTATATTATTATGCCTACTATACAGAAGAGAAAACTGAGGCATAATTTATCCAAGGTCACACAGCTACTGGGTAACTGGTAGGAGACATTCCAACCTAGGCATTCTTCTTCTTCTTCTTCTTTTTTTTTAACCCTCACCCGTGAATAGAATGGGAGAGAAAGGGAGAGAGAGAAACATTGACTTGAGAGAGAGAGAGACATCGACTTGTTGCCTCCTGCAGGACCCTGACCAAGGCTGCGGAGCACCTGCACAACCCACGAACAACCGAGGAATGTGCCCCTGGCCGCAGCCAAGACTCACTGGTTCGTGGGCGGAGGCTCTAACCACTGAGCAACTGGCCAGGGCCAACCTAGGTATTCTTAATGGCTATCCTAAAGTGCTTTAACAACTCAACTTTTAAACTAATCTTAAGGCAATAATAAATGTGTAAATTTGAAACACATAAGGGCTTTGATAATGTTGGATGTGTTATAAGCAGTAAGGTTTTTAAGGTAAACTTTTCTTCAATTATGACACACATTATTGAGAAGTGCATATATCACGTCTGATGACTTCTCATAAAGTGAATACACTGATGTAACTGTCAGCCACACAGGGGAACACAGTATAACCAGATCCCCGCCGCCGCCACCACCACCACCAATCTCTGAGGTAAGTTTCAAACTAAGCGCATTCTACAGCCTATTTAGACTCTGACTGAAATTCATTTCCATAATATACTCTTCTAGAGCACCGATTCTCAAAACGTAGTCCCCAGACAAGCAGCCTCAACACCACCTGGGATCTTGTTAGATCTGTCAAGGACCCCACTCCAGACCTGGAGAACTGATGCGGGGTGGAGCCCGGCAACTTTGTGGTTAACAAGCAAGCCCCCGGGCTAATTCTGATGCACATTAAGGTTGGAGAAGCACGGATGTAAGTCAACTGTAACAGTTTTGGTTCGTGCTCGCGTAGTAATTGTGTTAGTGAATACTAGGGTCTAAACTTTTAGATACTAAACTGTCACGCTTGAATAATAGTCAAAGTCTAATCGCCAATCTCTCTCTCATGTTGTGCCTCTCGCCTCTCCCAATCTGCAGGCATCTAGTTTACCAACAAAACGGCGCTAGAGTGACGAGAAATTAAGCATCCCAAAGCGAGAGGCCTGAGCCAATCAGAAGCCAGGATCGAGCCGCTTGCCCATCCTGGCAGTGTGATTGGTGGATTCCCGACGGAAGAGCCCTCTTTGGCACCGCCCCCGCCCTCCAGCAAGAGCCAATCGTCGCCCAGCTCTCGAAGGCGCAAAACCGCGCCAGTGATTGAACATGGCGGAGCACAGTGCCGGAGCGTCCCCGAACCAAAGGGGACGAGCGGACGGGGCGGATGCGGGCCCCTCGGAGAAGCGGCTGTGGGAAACGACGACGGATAATCAGGAGCAGTTCGAGTGCCAGGAGCTGCTCGAGTGCCAGGTTGAGATGGAGGCCCCCGAGAAAGAGAAAGATGTGGGCCTGGTGGCGGAGGCCGAGGCAGTAGCTGCCGGCTGGATGCTGGATTTCCTGTGCCTCTCTCTCTGCCGGGCCTTCTGTGACGGCCGCTCCGAGGACTTCCACCGGACCCGCGACAGCGCCGAGGGTGAGTGTGGGCGCGCCTTGCCGGCCGAGGCCTGGTTCGCAGCGCTGTCCCCCTGACCCTCCGACCCATGGGCTGCGGAGCGGAGGCACCCAGGCTCTGAACTGTTGACGCTCTCCCATCCGCCTAGTATCAGCCTCCGTTTTTCTGATTCTAAATTTTTCAGAGAAAAGTGGAAAGCCCCTTTTAGAGTTGATACAGGATTAAATGAGTTGCAGTTGTGAAGATAAAAAACATTCAAGCCTGAAGAGAATTATCGTGAGTTTATTTGAGCCAAAATGACAACAGTTGTCTGGAAGCACAATCTCAAGGGATTGAGAAAAATGCTTGGGAAGATGGCAGTTGTGCGCCTTATTTTATACATTAGGCTCAAAGGGGAAGACTAAGTGGGTTTATGTGAATTCCGTTAGTGACAGATTAGGAAGGCGGGAAAAAGCAAAGTGGGGGGAACTTCTTCGTTGGATAAAAAGTAAAAGATAAGACACTTTTAAAAAAAATTTTATTTGTGTTACAGATGTTTCTCCTTTTTTACCCGATTGACACCCTCCTCCCCACCCCCCCACCCCATGCCCGGGTTTGTTGTCCATGTCCATTGGTTATGCATACATGCATGTAAGTTCTGTGGTTTCTCTCTTCCCTCCCCTCACCACCCCCCTCTTCAGAGGGTTGTCAGTCTGTACCCTACTTACATGTTTCTGGGTCTGCTCTATTCCTCAGCCTCTTATGTTCATTATATTCCACAAATAAGTGAGATCATGTGATATTTGTCTTTTTCTGCTTGACTTGTTTCACTTAGGATAATAATTTCCAGGTCCCTCCATGTCATCTCAAAGGATAAGAGATCTTTCTTTCTTACAGCTGCATAGTAATCCATTGTGTATATGTACCACTGCTTTTTTATCCATTCATCTACTGATGGACATTTGGGCTGTTTCCAGATCTTAGCTATTGTAAATAGTGCTGCTACAAACATGGGGGTACATATATTCTTCCTGATTGGTGTTTCAGGTTTCTTAGGGTATATTCCTAGAAGTGGGATCACTGGATCAAATGGAAGTTCAATTTTTAATTTTTTGAGGTAACACCATATTGTTTTCCATAGTGGCTGCACCAGTCTGCATTCCCACCAGCAGTGCACTAGAATCAACAAATCATCAAACAACAAAGTCCCCTTTTCTCCACACCCTCGCCAACACTTGTTGTTTGATGATTTGCTGATGGTGGCCATTCTGACAGGTGTGAGGTGATACCTCATCGTTGTTTGAATTTACATCTCTCTGATTAGTGATGTTGAGCATTTCTTCATATATCTCTTGGCCATTTGTATGTCCAGTTTGGAGAGGTGTCTATTCAGCTCCTCTGCCCATTTTTAATTGGGTTCTTAGTCTTCCTTTTGTTGAGTTGTATGAGCACTTTGTATATTTTGGAGATTAACCCCTTATCTGATGTATCATTGGCAATGATGTTCTCCCATACAGTGGGTTGCCTTTCCATTTTGATGGTTGTTTCTTTTGCTGTGCAGAAGCTTTTTAGTTTGATGTACTCCCATGTGTTCATTTTCTCCTTTGTTTCTGTTACCTTAGGTGATGTATCAGTGACAATTCTGCTGTGTATGATGTCTGAAATTTTGTTGCCTACATTTTCTTCTAGAATTTTTATGGATTCACGGGTCACAATTAAGTCTTTTATCCATTTTGAGTTTATTGTGTATGGTGTAAGTTTATGGTCTAGTTTCATTTTTTTGCACGTAGCTGTCCAATTTTCCCAACACCATTTATTAAAGAGGCTGCCTTTACTTCATTGTATGCTCTTGCCTCCTTTATCAAATATTAATTGAGCATAGTGTCTTGGGTCCATTTCTGGGTTCTCTATTCTGTTCTACTGGTCTATATGCCTGTTCTTGTGCCAGTACCAGGCTGTTTTGATTACATTCGCTTTGTAGTATAACCTGATATCTGGTATTGTGATCCCAACTACTTTGTCCTTCTTTTTCAAAATTGCTGTGGCTATTTGGGGTCTTTTTTTGTTCCATATGAACTTTTGAAGTATTTGTTCTAGTTTTGTGAAATATGTCATTGGTATTTTGATGTGGATTGCATTGAATCTATAGATTGCTTTGGGTAGTATGGACATTTTAATGATGTTAATTCTTCCAATCCATGAACAAGGTATGTGCTTCCACTTTTTTATATCTTCCTCTTTTTCTTTTTTCAATGTCCTGTAGTTTTCTGCAAATAGGTCCTTTATTTCTTTGGTTAAGTTTATTTCTAGGTATCTTAATGTTTTTTGCCATGATAGTAAATGGGATTGTTTTTTCAGTTTCTCTGCTGTGAGTTCATCATTGATGTATAAGAATGTCGTCAATTTCTTGATGTAAATTTTGTATCCTGCTACTTTGCCAAATTCATTGATTAAGTCTAGTAGATTTTTGATGGAGTCTTTAGGGTTTTCTATGTATAATATCATGTCATCTGCAAATAATGACAGTTTCACTTCCTCCTTTCCAATTTGGATCTCTTTTATTTTTCCTTCATGTCTGGTTGCTGTGGCCAAGACTTCCAGTACTATGTTAAATAAGAGTGGCGAAAGTGAGCATCTCTGTCTTGTTCCTGTTCTTAAGGGAAATGCTTTTAGTTTCTGCCCATGAGTATGATGTTGGCTGTAGGTCTTTCATATATGGCCTTTAGTATGTCGAGATAATGATCCCTTTATTTTCACATTGCTGAGTATTTTTATCAGAAATGAATGCTGGATTTTGTCAAATGCTTTTTCAGCATCTATTGATATGATCATGTGGTTTTTATTCTTCATTTTGTTTACGTGGTGTATTACATTTATTGATTTGGAATATTGTACCAGCCTTGCATCCTGGGATGAATCCCACTTGGTCATGGTGAATAATTTTTTTGATGTATTGCTGGATCCGATTTGCTAGTATTTTGTTCAGGATTTTGGCATCTATGTTCACCAGGGATATTGGCCTATAGATTTCTTTCTTTGTAGTGTCTTTTTCTGGTTTTGGAATTAGAATTATGCTGGCCTCATCAAAGGAGTTTGGAAGTCTTCCTTCTTGAATTTTTTGAAATAGTTTGAGGAGAATGGGTGTTAGTTCTTTTCTGAATGTTGTGTAAAACTCCCCTGTGAAGCCATCTGGGCCTGGGCTTTTGTTTGCTGGGAGAGTATAAAACACCTTTTTTATTTAGGTAGGTACAGGATAGTTAACACTCTACAGTTAACTCAATAACAATAACAATGAGAGGATTTGTGGTCTCCCCTCCGGTGCTTAGGTTGTGCCCTGGGGGGGGGAGGGTGTCCAGAAAATGGGAAGTTACCCTGACAACCAAAAGGTGTGTTGTAGCTGCAGGAAGACAGTAGACAGGCTCAATTAAGGTAAAGATTGACTTTTGGCAGGGGTGATTCTAGATAACTAGGGCATGACAATCTGCCAAAACTGCTTTTAGTTAAAAAGTTGTAATTTCAGACTGTCCACTGTGGCTACTTTAGGTCTCTGATTTTAAGGCCTCCGACGCAGACCTCCCTGAACTTGTTAGGTTTAATATGTGGGCCCCTTTTTGTCCCTAAAGTGTACAAAATTGCACCTGACCTAGTGTCCAATTCTTTTTGTCTTTGTTGGCACTTATATTTGTTTTTCTTTCAACTCAGGTATTCCTGTAATGACAGTCAACAGTCACTGTGGGCTCCAAGTGACTCAGATCTCAGTGTTTTCTGTTAGCTTGTAAGCTATTTGAACCTCATTTGGCCTGCTTGCTCAGTACTATATGCTTCAGAATACAAGTAACTGCCAATGAAATATGCTGCCTAGACCTTTACAGATGGGAATTTTAGGGGAGGTCTCAGGGGAGGGTTTGGATCGAATATTCATCAGCTTTCCAGGAGTGCTCTTTCAGGATGGTGGTGTCCACTGATGGGTTGGTGACAGGGCAGGGGTCACTAGTCAGTGTATCTGGTCCTGAAGCAGCCATGAAGTCCCTGGTCTGGTTTTGTTGCTTTTCTGGGCTTGGAGCTGAAAAACAACTGAGGCGTAGATGTTATCTTCAGGGAGGAAAAGGTCAGGGGGTTTAAACTGCATGACCAGTGATATGCTAGGGGAGGATAGGTTACCCTGGGGCTAGGTTCTTGTTTTTCTAGTTTTGCGGGCATCCAGGGCTTTCTGCCCTGGTGACTTTCTGTACCTAGCCTGTCGTCCTTGCTCTGCTCATGTCTATCTAATGCCTATAACAGGATGGGTTATATAGAGGAAAAATCATTAATCATGGTGACTATAAGGAGGTTATGATTGTGGTCTCTATTTGATTGAGCATTGCTAGGGTAGGGGTAGTTCAGTGCATCTGGTCTTGACCACCTCTCTGGGCCTGGGGTTGAAACACAGCTGAGGCCTAGTTTTTATCTCTAGTTTGATTGAAACTCTCTGTGGTCAGTGCTTTGTTCCTAAGATTATTTGATATAGATCAGAACCTCATTGTCCTGCAGGCAGAATGATTAAGGGAATGATGTGCAAGGGAGAAGGAGACAGGTGAGTCAGGGTGCTGGGTGAGGGCAGTTTTTTTATTTTTATTTTAATCCTCATTCAAGGATATATTTAGTAATTTTAGCAAGAAAGGGAGAAACATCTATTGGTTGCCTCGTATAGTGCCTGACTGGGGATTGAACCCAAAACCTAGGTATGTGCCCTGACTAGGAATGTAACTCTAAACCTTTTGATGTATGGGACAATGTTTCAACCAACTGAGCTACCCAGCCAGGGCAAGGTCGGGTTTTTGTTTTTTCCTTCAAGTGTCAGACTGTCAAGGCCAGAACGCTGAGCGTAAATCTGTCTTCTCTCTGCCACCTATATGTGACACAGCAGCGACACCTGCCACACCTCTAGGGGCAGTGAGTTCTGTTTGAGTCACAAGGAAAGAAAGGAGAAAAGGTCATATTAAAGAAATGAAGTTACGCCCTGGCTGGTTTGGCTCAGCGGTTAGAGCATTGGCCTGAGGTCCAGAGAGACCCGGGTTCGGTTCTCGCTAAGGGCATGTACCTCGGTTGCAGTTTGTCCCTGCCCCAGTTGGGGTTGTGTGGGTGGCAACCAGTCAATGTGTCTCTCTTACATCGATGTTTCTCTCTCTCTTTTCCTCCCTGTCTCCCTCCTGCTCTAACTGAGGATAAATGCAAAAATGTCTTCGGGTAAGGATAAAAAGAAAAATGACGTTTCTTCGAGGTTACTGATACTCTGGTGTTTATTACAGAATTGGCACTCAACTTACTGCAGCTGAATGCAGCCCCAAGGTAGTCTTTAATGGAAAATTAAATACTTAAAACCATATTGACACATTTCATCTTCATGTCAATCCCCTGAGTTAGGCAAATAATTTTATTAAGCAACCTGAAGCAAGTACTTACCTCTTGGTACCTCAGTCTCCTAACTTGTAAAATGATGATAATAGTATTTACCTCATAGGGCTGTTGAGAGAACCAAATGAATTGACGTGTATAAAGCAAGATTTCTCAGCCTCAGCACCGTGGACATTTTGCACCTCATAATTCTTTGTTCTGCGTATGCTTGAGGGTGGAGAGCAGTGGGGATACTGATGCCCAGTGTATTGTAGGAAGTTTAGCAGCACTCCTGACCTCAAGTGCTAGGTGCCATTAGCACCCCCTTCCACCCATGACAATCAAAAAAGGCTCTAGACCTTGCTGAATGTCCTTTAAGAGACAAAATCACCCCCAGTTGAAAACCACTGGTATAAAGTACTTAGAGTAGTGCTTGGTGTTATAATAAAGTGCTTAAAAATATAGTTGCTATTGTTGCTAATCATTAGATCCTCCCTACTGTGTTTTTCTGTCACCAGTGTTGTTTACAGGTATGAAAAAAGCTTGTAGCCAGGTTCACTCATAGTAGATTCTCCTTGTTCAGAAAGGCAATGGTGTGTAGGATAGCTGCAGTTTCTGCACAGCTGACTAAATTGAGTATGGAGGGAAGGGAATACAGAGGGGGTCTGATTTTCTTCTTTGCAGTAGATTAGGTTTTTTGGCCCAGATAATTGCTAGTATACTATAAGATTAAGGCATTTTAGAATTGAAGAAATATATTTATTTGTTTTATCTGCTTAGTGGCTACAGGACTGCTTTGGGGGTTTTATATACACCAGGTAATGTCTCCTCAGAGAAGCCTTCCCTGATATATCGCTTGTTATATGCTTCCATAGCATTCTATACTTATCTTTTTTGCTTTCCTCCACATTTTTACTTTAGTTGTTCAATCATTTGTCTTTCATTACTACATGGTAATGAACTCACTGAGGTCCAGGATTATGGCTTATTCTCCGTTGTGTAGGCTCACTGTCTAGCATTACATCTGGGCGAGCATTCAGATATTTAGAGATTAGTACAAATAAATGTGTTTTTAAAATAAACTGAACAGCCCGGATGGTGAGGCTCAGTGGTTGAGCATCGACCCATGTCGGTTTGATTCCCAGTCAGGGCACATGCCCAGGTTGTGGGCCAAGTCCCCAGTGGGTGGCATGCTGGAGGCGGCCAGTTGATGTTCTCTCTCATAGATGTTTCCATCTCTCTCTCTCTAAAATCAATATAAAAAAATATTAAAAAATAAAATAAACTGAACCGGCCCTCACTTAGCTGAAACCTCGACAGAAATAATATACAATAGTTCCTATAATAGGAGTTTTAGGGTATAAAATAAACTTTCGGATAATGACACATTTTCGAGTTTGGATCTAGATAGTCTTTTCCGATAGTTTAGAGTGCTACTTGTGAAAGTAATTTTAAATATTTATTATTCTACATGTAAACATCAGTATTATTTTACAAGTGTTTATTGTTGTTTTTTCTGATATTTTAAAAATTGCCTATAAATAAAAGTATAAAGCTCTAAATTTATGGTAAATTTTGTGTGGTGTTTATAACCTGTTTTCTCAACAAACCACTTAGGCACTGCTGGGTCAAGTTTTTTGTTTTTTTTTTTGGTAATGTTTTAATAAAATTTCACTTTTTTTTTTTCCAGCTATTATTCATGGATTATCCAGTCTAACAGCTTATCAGTTGAGAACTATATACATATGTCAGTTTTTGACAAGAATTGCAGCAGGAAAAGCCCTTGGTAAATATGTGTTTTTATCTTATATTGGAAATATTTCAATCTATGTCTAATGGTAAGACAATGACAAGAAACAGAGAGGAGCTGTCATTTATTTTAGAGTTTGCCCACATGAATGTGTTTGTCATGTACATCTACACACAAGCACATCTAAAAGAAATACAGTCCCCATCTTCTCAGAGCAGTGGTTCTCACACTTAGCTTGCTTCAGAATTACGAGAGAACTTGTTTTTTAAAAAAAGAATGTTGAGTCCCCTTCTCCTCCATGAGTTTCTGATTCAGTAGGATGGGTACAGGCCTTGGAGTTAGTTTCCTGTAAGTTCCCAGGTGATTCAGATGCTGCTGTTGGGGCCCCATGCTTTAAATTTGTGTGGTAACTAACGTTTGTGGTGATTTCCTATCATGCACACTCCATTTTTTACTGATAACTTATGATATTTGAAACCTCTTATTTGAATTTGATTTCAGCACTTACTTATATAAGGGAAAATGATTTATAACTATAATCTCTCTCTCCCTTGTCCCCAAACTTCATTTTAGATTGTAATGGGGGGGATACCTGATTCAGTTTATCAGTAATGGCTGATAATACAACATGGTCATTTAAAGGGCCTTTTGATACAAATAATTACATATTTATATTGGTTTATACAGTGCTTTCCCAATAGTCCTGAGCAGCAGGCAGTACGTACATGAAACTGCTATCTTATAAACATGTTGTATTACATAAAATTTCAGTGTGTTAATACCACTGTCATGGCCCTCACTAATCTAGCTGTGGTTCATGAGGTACACTTTGTGTTGAGGGTGAGGTTAGGTCTGGAGTTGGTGCCAGGACCATAGGTGGATAGGACTAGAGGCAGAGTAGATGTGAGAGAGACAGAGTTTTGGTAGGTCTGGGCCTATTGCTCAAGAAGAAAACAAGCTGGTATGGACAAAGTTGAAGAATTTATGGCCATAAGGTAACATGGTTGTTAACAGAGTTGTTTTGCATTTAAATGTGACAAAATAATCTAAAGTGCCTAGCTATGCTTCATGTACAGCAGTTGTTCAGTGTATCTTAGTTTCGCCCCCTACTTTTCCTCCCAAAAAAGGGTGGAGAAAATCCAGATTTTGTGTGTGACCCCATGGTTTAACCCTGAATTCACCAGGATCCTGTTTTGGGTGTATCTTAGAAGAGGTCAAGGTCAGTTGTCAAGAATAAATACTATATTTCACCATAATGGACTCAAGTGAGACAGCATAATACAATGTTAGCCCCATATGTAATGGAAGGTTTTGTAATAGCTATATTAAGTAAAGTAGAAAAATGAAGGGCTGACCCGACCAGTTTGGCTCAGCACTTAGAGCATCAGCCCGCAGACCAAAGAGTCACAGGTTCGATTCCAGTCAAGGGCATGTACCTTGATTGCAATTCAGTCCCAGCCTTGGTTGGGGTTGTGCGGGAGGCAACCAGTCAGTGTGTCTCTCTCACTGTCTCTCTCTTCCACTCTATCTGAAGATAAATAGAAAAAAAGTATCCTCGGGTGAGGATTTAAAAAAAGGAAAAATGAAGGGCTGGAAGAGGATACTCTAAGCAAATGGCATCCAGAGTAAAGTGGGTGTAGCCATACTTATGTCAGACAAAGTAGATTTCAAGACAAAAGAAGTAACAAGTGACAGTGGTGGACACTTTATAATGATAAAGGGGACAATACATTAAGTAAATTAGAAAGAAATAGGTGGAATTAATTTTAACAATATCTTATTTAACCCAATATTTCTAAAATATGTGCAAATATAGCAATATAAAACATATTTATGAATTCTCTTACCCCCTTTTTTTGCAGTAAGTCCTTGAAATTTAGTGTGTATTTTATACTTAAAACATATCTCAGTTCAGACTAGCCTTATTTTAACTGCTCAATTATTGCATATGCCTGGAAGCTACCATGTTAGCTTTAGTCTCTTGTCCCACAAAACTTTAAAATAGGGCAAATGCCTGATGTGGCTTAGTTGGTTGGGTGTCATCCCATGCACTGAAGGGTTGCGGGTTTGATTCCTGGTCAGGGCACATGCCCAGATTGTGGGCTTGATCCCCAGTGGGTGTGCAGGAGGCAGCTGATCAATGTCTCTCTCTCTCTCTCTCTCTCTCTCTCTCTTCCCTCTATTCCTCCCTCCCCCCTCTCTTCTTTTCTCTCTGAAAATCAGTAAAAAAATCTTTAAAAAATAAATAAAATAGAGCAAATGTCTTTAAGGAGAAATGTTTGTTTGCTCCTCCTTTCATGGAACTTTATCTCTTAAGATCGATGCAACTCTGGGAGATTTCTCTATCTACCTACCCAGCTTCCTGCACTGCCCCCAGAACTCAGCAAATGTCCTGTGGGGGGGGGGGGAACCTGTGTTTTCAGTTTTTCTAGTTTTCAGTTCACCAAGCGAGCCCCAAGGAAACCACCAGAAACTTTTCTCCTTTCTCTTACCCCCAGTAAAATCTCCCTGCCTGCGGTACAGTGCATCCTCAGCCTGACTAGCACATGAATTCAGGGAAGAAAACAGCCACAAATCATCACCCTGCCTCAGGACTCTTCCTCTGGAACTGTGGTTCATCAAGTGCTCATTGCTTCCTCAGCTAGCCGGTGGCTGTAGCAACATGACTGCAGTGTATGCAGTTTTGTCTGGGTGTAGTGGGAGTATTGGCCTGCTGCAGTGTCCCACATTCTAACTGAAAGTGAAGGTCTACACTAAATTTTTCAAAGTTAAGATCTAACATATATATGTTTCTTTCTAGATCTCACAGTTATAAGAAGAAGGCAGAAGAGTGAGAAGGATTAGATAATGTCAGTCAGAAAAGACTTATTGGGAAAGATGAGTATTTAAAGAAAGAAAGCAGATGTGAAATGAACAAGGATTAGGCAGTCTGCCTTTGCATTTTTATTTCACTGCTTTACATGTACTCTGGCCACACCAGCCATCTTATTTCTGAAATGTACCTTTGTTGAGACATAGGAAGTCGTGTTTTTTTTGTTTTTGTTTTTTTAAATCCTCACCTAAGGATATTTTTCCATTTATCTTCAGATAGTGTAGGAGAGATGGAGAGAGAGAGAGAAACATCGATGTGAAAGAGACACATCAACTGGTTGCCTTCTGCACGACCCCAACCAGGACTAGGGACAAACAGCAACCGAGGTGCGTGCCCTTGGCCAGAATCGAACCCACGACTCATTGGTCCATGGGCCAACGCTCTACCGCTGAGCCAAACTGGCCAGGGCGAAACATAGTAAGTAGTTTTTAAGGGTTCTGTTGTCTGCCTCTACCACTTGCTAGCTGTGTGATTTCAGTAGATCTGTTTCTCCTTTATAAAACAAGGGTAATAATATTGTGTACTCTTTTAAAAGTTTGTTTTTTTTAATTCTCACCCGAGGACGCTTTTCCATTTTTTATTCAGATAGAACGGGAGGGAGAGAGAGAGAAACATCATAACAGAGAAATCATCTAAACTGTAACATTAAGAATAAACCAAAGAAGAACATCAATGTTTCTCTCTCTCTCTCCCTCCCCCTCTACCTGAACAAAATATCACAAAATGTCCTTGGGTGAGGATAAAGAAAAAAAAAGGAAATTGTGTGGACAAAGGAGCTACTACATGTTAAACACTTAACACAATGTTTGACACATAGTAGGGCCTCAATAAATGTTAACTAGTAGTGTGAATATCTTTTGTACACCTCTGCCTTATTTTGCTGCTCCATCTTCTAAAATGTTCTTTCAGCCCTGGCCGGTTTGGCTCAGCGGTTAGAGCGTCCGCCTGTGGTCCGGAGAGACCCGGGTTCAGTTCCCGCTAAGGGCATGTACCTCGGTTGCGGTTTGTCCCCGGCCCTGGTTGGTCGTGCGGGTGGCAGCCACTCGATGTGTCCCTTTCACATCGATGTTTCCCTCTCTCTCTCTCTTCCTCTCTCTCCCTCCCACACTGTCTGTACAAAAAATGGAAAAATGTCCTCGGATGAGGATTAAAAAAAAAAGTTCTTTCATCCTTGCCCTCTTTGCTTGGTTATCTTTTGTTCTTTTCTTTTTATCCTCACCCGAGGGCATTTGTTTGGATTTATCTTCATATAGAGCGTGAGGGAGAGAGGGAAGAAGAGAGAGAGAGAGAGAGAGAGAGAGAGAGAGAGAGAGAGAGAGAGAAACACATCGATGTGAGAGAGACACATCGAGTGATTGCCACCCACATGACCCAACTGGGGCTGGGGATGAACTGCAATCGAGGTACGTGCCCTTAGCGGGAACCACACCCAGGTCTCTTTGGTCCGCAGGCCAACACTCTAACCTCTGAGCCAAACCAGCCAGGGCTTCTTTTGTTTATTCTTAATGTCCCAGTTTAGATGATTTCTCTGTTATGAAGAGTTCTCTTCTGGCATCCCTTCTTAGAGCTAGAACTCTGTGACTCAAATACACTAGACTGTCCTAGAGAGTTTTTAGAAAGTAGAGATGCATGGCCTTTACGCTATACCACTTAAATCAGTCTCTGGGGTAGGCCTGGGCATAGTTTTTTAAAAGCTCCTTATGATTCTGAGGTATGGCTAGGATTGAAAACCACTGGCATAGTCCTGGCCAGTTTGTCTCAGCGGTTAGAGCATCGGCCTGCGGTCCAGAGAGACCCGGGTTCGGTTCCCGCTAAGGGCATGTACCTCAGTTGCAGTTTGTCCCCGGCCCTGGTTGGTCGTGCGGGTGGCAGCCACTCGATGTGTCCCTTTCATGTCAGTGTTTCTCTCTCTCTCTCTCTCTCTCTCTCTCTCCCTCCCTCCCACTCTATCTGAACAAAAAATGAAAAAATGTCCTCGGGTGAGGATAAAGAAAAGAAAACCACTGGCATAATATAGAGCAAAAGTAGGTTTACAGTTGTGATTTTATTCTTGTATTATTATGTATTGGTTATTTTATTATTTTCTATGTGAACAAGTGTAAACCTTTTTTTCCACCCTGTATAATTCTAGTAAAGTACCAGTTACATTGGTTTGTCTACATGTCTTCCTTCATAGCTAGCATGTGAGTTCCACATGGGCAGGAAATTTTTCTTCGTCATGTTTGTATCCTAAGAACATTGCACAGAGCCTGGAATATAAAGAGACAGTATATGAATGAATATATTTTTGTATATAAAATGTTGGTGAAATAATTAGGAGAGGACTATAGAAAATAAAGTAGGAATCATTGAAACTGCTGATATTAAGTTGCATGCTCCCTCTAATTTTACAAAGGGAAAAAAAAGGATATCCCATTTATAGTTCTTAAGTATGTGTACTTTTATGTAGTTGCTGTGGAACTACTATCGTACGAGGAACTATGGGGATTCAGAGGAATATAGTAAACCCTCCATTTTGCGGACCTTGATGTAACCAGACTTTAGATTTGACAGACAAAATTTCTGGTCCATATGTCATATGTGAAAATTAACATCCCGTTCATTTTAAAATGCTTTTAACCAAGATTTGCTTATAATTAAATAACGGGTTTTTTGTTGTTATTAATTCACTGTTATTTTTAACAGATTTTAGTGAATAGGCCATATGTTAGAAATAACACTGTAATTTCACCAACATAAATAAATACTACATATCTACAACTGTAGTCTACATATTTAAATCTAAGAGTCACCGCTCGTAAGCAAAGTTGGGGGAATGATTAGCACATGATCGATCACAGGGCATCGAGCTTGGTGATTGGTTCTGTTGTCCAGTGGCATGACTTTCTGCAGCATTTTGATCGAGTAGGCTAAGACACATCCTAGCCTTGTGCATTTGTTTACTCGGTGACTGGTGAATGCACACATTCACTAGACCTAGTCAGTATAAATTTAAAATTACCATAATACATAGAAAACTTTTCTGTGAAATTAAACTTTTCGTGCATACTTAATTTTAATTACACAAACATGTCTACATAAGTAAAAGCCAGCACACTCATTTGTTAACATACACATTTGGAAAATCTGCTTTATTATTATGTATCGGACTTTGGCTTTGATGGACACCCCTTGCCTGAATTAGTCTGTTATATTGAGCTTTTACTGTACTATGTAGCTCCTGTCCTCAAAATTTGAAATATAATCCTTATGCATTGTATAGTGAGAGGTTTTCTGCCTTTGAGACACTTAAGTGCTAACAGGATTGTTGAGATAAGTATAAGTATAAAATATTGCAAGGCAAAACAAAGATAGGAATTGTGATACAGAGATTTAGAGAAGAGAAATTTCTGTTTGTTAGTTTTTGGGGTTTTTTTTTATCCTCACCGAGGACATTTTTCCATTTTTTGTTCAATAGAGTAGGAGGGAGAGAAAGGAAGAGAGAGAGAAACATCGATGTGAAAGGGACACATCAAGTGGCTGCCACCCACACAACCCAACCAGGGCCGGGGACAAACTGCAACCAAAGTATGTGCTCTTAGTGGGAACCGAACCTGGGTCTCTCTGGACCGCAGGCCGATGCTCTAACTGCTGAATCAAAACGGCCAGGGCGGTTTTTGGTTTTTATTATTGCTTTATTTATTGTCTTTTGGATAGTAGAACTCTTTTTTTTTAATCCTCACCCAAGGATATTTTTCCATTGATTTTTAGATACAGTGGAGGGGGTGCAGGGAGAGGGAGAGAGACATTGATGTGAGAGAGCAATATCAGTTGGTTGTCTCCCACACAACCCAGACCAGGGCCAGGAATTGAACCTGAGATCCTTCGGTCAGAGTCCAATGCTCTAACCACTGAGCAACCGGCAAGGGCTACATAGTAAAACTCTTTATTTCCATGCTTAACTCCCCAAATTTTCCCTTCACCCAGACTTCCCATGTTAGTAAATGACAGCACTATTTGTTCAGTTAAAACCTAGGAGAGAGTCACTCGATTTTGCTTACTCTCCACATCTAATCCACCAGCAGTCCAGTTCCTTCTACATTCAGAGTTCTAGACAGATTTTCTTCCCTCCTCCATAATCTCTGATAGCATGCATCTCACTTGCCCACTACTCTTACCAGACTATCCTCCTGTCTGTTTTTTGAACACCAAACTCCTACTCAGGTCCTTTGTGCTTGCTGTGCCCTGTAGATCTTCTGTAGATCTTTGCTAGCAAGTGCTCTATATTTATTGAGTGAATGAATTATAGATTGTACATGTAGTTTATAGATTACAGTGAAGGTTCTGAATGTCAGATTGAGATGTTTGTATGTAATTTGCTAAGTAGTTATCAACCACTTTGAGTCTTTGATTAGACTAACCTCATCAGAATTGTTCTAAGAAAATTGAACAGTAGTACAGATACTATCTCATTAAATATTCACATAAATCCTATGAGATAATATTTTCACCATTTTGTAGATAAAGAAAAATGAGAGTTAGAAAGGTGAAATAACTTTTAACACTGTACAGGTAATAATAGGATCTGGAATAAATTCCAAAGTCAAGTTTTTTAAATTACTCTTCAGTGTTTTGCAACAGATTAGATATGGTGATGAGAAAGAGGAGAAGGTAAAACAATGACTCTTTAGATTCTGAGCCTTGGTGATTGGAAGAATGTTGGTAGAACTTTTTGAAGATTCTATTTCAAAGTCACAAAATGTATAAGAATTTCTAGTAGAATGTGGTAAAATCAAGTTAATAAACTGATTTCATGCTCTTGAGGTTTGTTAAATGCAGACTTATAAACCATTTAAGAATTTTATTACTGTGACACCCTTATGTGATGTATAAAATAATTTATTTTAGCTCTTAAAAATCAGTATTTTAGTAAAGAAAAGCTTTAAATGTTTTGTAAACTAATCTAGCTTTTTCAATTGTTAAAGTTGATTTTAATAAGGAAATTAACTTGAAAAGTCAGATCACTTCCTTAAATGGTATATACAAGAACAATGCCTAACAGATAGTGTATACTCAGTAATATTTAAAGAAATGAATTTTTTTAATTGGCAAAGTAAGGTTCTACTTAGCTTTCTAATTTACTTATTTTTGTTCTGCTTTTAAAAGATGCACAGTTTGAAACTGATGAACGAATTACACCCTTGGAATCAGCCCTGGTGATTTGGGATTTAATTGAAAAGGAACATGACAAACTTCATGAAGAAATACAGAATTTAATTAAAATTCAGGTATGAGTGTTACTCTCTGTTTATTTATTATTTTGCTAGAAAATAAAAATACAACATCTAAAGAAATTAAGAGCCACTGTAATAGAAATTGGGCAGTAAACCCAGAGTAAAATTTAATATAATCATTTTCTTAAGAAATTTGACCTTTGGTTTATAGACTGGACATGAGCTTGAAGAGCTAGGACTTAAGAGTCTGATAGCTCGCCCTGGTTTTGCTAAGTAGTTAGAGCGTCGGACCGAGGACCAGTGAATCTCAAGTTCAATCTAGGTCAGGGGCACACAGTTCGGTAGAGGTTCATCCCCGGCCCTGGTTGGGTCATGCAGGAGGCAGCCAATGTGTGTCTTACATCGTTTCTCTCTTTCTCTCTCTCCCTCACCTTCTCTCCCTCCTTCCCTCCCTCCCACTCTTATCTGATGATAAAGAGAAGAATATCCTTGGGTGAGGATATTTTTTAAAAAGTTTGATAGCTCGGTGTTTATTGCCACACTTTGGAAAATGTGCCACATCTATTTAAAGACCATGCAGCAGCTTTGAAAAACTTGGGTTTGTGCCCTCTCAATTTTTATTTAAAAATCATAAATGTGGCCCTGGCCAGTTTGGCTCAGCGGTTAGAGCATCAGCCCATGGACCAGAGAGTCCAGGTTTGGTTCCCGCTAAGGGTATGTACTTCGGTTGCAATTTGTCCCTGGCCCCGGTTGGGGTCGCATGGGTGGCAACCAGTCGATGTGTGTCTCTCACATCGATGTATCCCTCTCTCCCTCCCGCTCTATCTGAAGATACATGCAAAAATGTCCTCGTGTGAGGATAAAGAGGAAATAAAAGTTAGAATATTTGATTTTTAATTTTGTGATTAAGAATATAAAGTTTTGCCCTGGCCAGTTTTGCTCAGCGGTTAGAGCGTCGGCCTGCGGTCCTGAGAGACCCAGGTTCGGTTCTCGCTAAGGGCACGTATCTCGGTTGCAGTTTGTCCCCGGCCCTGGTCGGTTGTGTGGGTGGCAGCCACTCGATGTGTTCCTTTCACATCGATGTTTCTCTCTCTCTCTCTGTTCCTCTCTCTCCCTCCCACTCTACCTGAACAAAAAGATGGAAGAGTGTCCTCGGGTGAGGATAAAAAAATATATATATATAAAGTTTTAATTTATGTAGAGAGAATTTTAGGAGTAGCCAATTAAAGAGTGGTAAGCCAAAAAAAGTCACTCAAAGATATAAGAGCAGGGAAAATATGTTTTGCTGAGAGGAATTTTGTTAGATAAACCTTTCCACGTTTAAAAAATGTTTTGCTGTTGAGTAGCAGAGAAAATCCAGGTGGTGTCCTACCTTCCCAAGAATTAATTATTGATAGTATAGTGACTGTTAAGTAAAATTAAGACCTGATGAGAATGGGCAGAAAAAAATGCTTCTTTTAGGAATTTCAACCAGGGCAAAGACATTTGTCATGCTGTCCCAATTTGTGGAGTGCTCTAGAGGAAGCCAGCCTTTGTTAAAATACGAATATAAAGTTGAGTGAGTTACCATCAAACATGTAATATAATGCTTACTATTTGCCAGATACTATTCTGAGTACTTTCATATATAACTCTAACCCTCACAGCAACCCTTTGAAGTAGGCACTATTATTTCCACCCTTTTATACATAAGGAAGAGGTTAAATAATTTGCTCAAGTTTGTAAAGCTACTTAGATAGTATTGGTGGTCCCATATCTTACGAAATACGGTATAAAAAACGACAATTTATAAAATGATTATTGAAAAGCATCCAGCTTGCTAGGTTTTTGTTAAGAGATTTTCTGGACATCCTCTAGCAGATTTTATATATCTAATCACAAATGCCATCTACTTCCCCCTCATGTCCCGTTTGCTCAGAAAATTTAAGTGGGTCCTAAATGTACGTAATGTAGCTTCTGATTTATTTGTTAATAACTGCCTTTAATTTGGCCTACATTAGAAAGGAATGTTACACGTTTATTAGTATAAATGAAATTTTTTTGTGTCTTTTCAAACCAGTTATTTTATCTTTGAAAAGGTATTTTATATAATTTATCAAATCAAAATTATTATACAAAAATAAAGTTAATAAACTACATAAAAATATTTTAAATGAAGTAGTTCAGACTTATCTGAGTTGTTTCAATATTAAACAACAATTCACTATTTCACAAAGCAATCTTAAGTATGTATTTGTCATTCTATCTTTTAGGCTATAGCTGTTTGTATGGAAAGTGGCAACTTTAAGGAAGCAGAAGAAGTCTTTGAAAGAATATTTGCTGACTCACATTCTAATACGGTAATTGTTTAAATTAGAGTCAGAATTTTAGGACTGTTTATATGGAATGAGGGATATTGAAAGAACATTGGAGGAGAAAGGAATGGTGAAGAGTATTGAACAGCGCTGTCCAGTAGTACACAGTGCAAGTCATATGTGATTTTTACATTTTCTAGTAGCCACATTTAAAAAGTGAAAAGACACAGTGAAACTAATTTTAATAACATTTTATTTAACCCAATATATTAAACATTGTCATTTTTAATATTTAATCAATATAAAAAATGTATTAATGAAATATTTTGTAATTCTTTTTTTTTTGTTTGTTTGTTTTGCACTCCTTCATTGTACTAAGTCTTTGAAAGTAATAGAAAGTAAAAGAACCTGTTGTTTATTATTACACTTTTGTCTAAGTTCAGGGCTCATACATATTAAGGGCTTAGTAGCGATGTGTGGCTAGTGGCTACTATATTGGGCAGTGCAGGTATGGAAGAAGGCATTGTAACTTGCTTATTTTTCTGTAGTTTCTTACATGTTCATTCATCATATTTGTTTGTGTAACATTAAGGTCAAATATTAAAAACAAAGTGCAATTGGATATTTGAGTAAATTAGGCTTATTCAAAGAAAAGATACTTTTATATGTTTTCTGTGAACTTTTTATTGAACAAGAGCATACCTCTAGTAAAGTATATGTATCATAAATGTATAAGTAGGTGTGCTTTTATAAAAGGAACATGTGTGTAATGAGCCCCTAGATCATGAATCAGGAGATCACCAGCACCCCCGCCCTCCAGTCACTGTCTGTCCCGCCTTCTCAAGGGTAACCACTGGCCTGACTGGTAACAGTCAAGATCAGTTTGACTTGTTTCTGAACTTTATAAATAGAGTCATATAGCAAGTTTATATGTGTAAGATTGCTCCATGGTATTGCTTATAACAATGGTTTGTTCAATCTCATTCCTTCGTTGTAGGAATATACTACAACTTATTCATTCTACTATTGATGGACATTTGAGTCATTTCCAGTTTGGGGTTATTATATTCCTTTATACCTGTCTTTTGTAGAATATATGTTTCCATTGGTATATACTTGGGAATAGAATTGATAGGTTATAGGATGTGAACAAATTTATTCAGTTTTGATAGATGCTGCCAGATAGTTTCCCAAAATAGTTATATTATGTCAGTTCTTCCAGTGCTGCAGGAGAGTTCCAGTTGTTTCACAGACCTTATCTGTGGTTTTCACTTTAGTTGTTCTGGCAAATATGTAGTGTGTCACATTGGGTTTTAAATTCTGTTTCCCTCATGGCTAATGAAGGTGAGCATCTTTTCATCTACTGTTATATATTGAGTTGTGGAGTGATCACCTTAATCTATTGAGGGACTGAGCCAAGTTGAGGGTCGGTTATAGTTTTAGTACAGCTCAGTCTATGTCTAATTTGCTCTTGGTCCTAGGGTGTAACACTCCAGATGGTAGCAGAAAGCCTGATACATTTATTAGGTTCCCTGCCCCTACTTATAAACAAGGGCTGTGATTATTCAGATGATGTCTTAGTTCTTAAATTTGGTAATGGACATTCAGGTTTATAATATTTTTTTAAGTCCTTTTTATATGTGTATGAAGTATAAGATATGTTTTTTTAATTCAGAAAAAATTAATTGGTGGCCCATTTAAAACATGAGAATTTAAAAAATCTCTTAATTGTGGGTCTTTGAGTTTATATTTATAAAGTGATCTTTTTAATTTATGACAAAATTTCAAGTATCTTATTTGTGATTTATGTGTTAATGTTTCTTCTGTTTTCTCTAGTCTTTACAAAGGAAATTGCTTATGATAATCTCTCAGAAAGATACATTTCATTCCTTTTTCCAACACTTCAGCTACAACCACATGATGGAGAAAATTAAGACTTTTGTGAATTATGTGCTTGATGAAAAATCATCAACATTTCTAATGAAGGTATGCATATTTCAGAAAGACTGGTAGACTCAGGAGAAATTGTTATAATAAAGAGTACTTGAAATAGAAATTCTTTTAAAACAAACCAGAATTTTATTTGGTGTGTTACAATTAGTGAATCTAAAGGGTTTATTGGTGATCTTTGTAGTATTTTTACAACTTTTCAAAATAAGAGTTGAGAAGGAAAAGTTAAAATGAAAGAAATAAGCGAAAATATTTAGTTTAAATTTAATTAAATTTTACAGAAAGTTTTAGCATATTTTTAGAAAAAGTAAAATTTGAAGAAGGGCCTTTAAAAATTTTTTTATAACATTTTAACCTCTGTCTTGGCCTCAAAAAATTTTAACATAATATGTTATGGTGGAGCTTTGATTAATATGGGCTAGTTTCCTTTTTAAATTTCTGGAATTTTTATTGATGTTTTGTTTTGTGTTTTTCTTTTGTTTGTTTTTTATTCTCACCAGAGGATACTTTTTCCATTGATTTTTAGAGAGAATGAAAGGGGAGGGGAGGGATGGGGAGAGACATTAATTGGTTGGGATCGAACCTGCAACCCAAGTAAATGCCCTCGACCAGGAATCAAATCTGCAATCCTTTGGTGCTTGAGCTGACAGTCTAACCACTGGGCAACACCGGTAATGGCTTGATTTTTTTTTTTTTTAAATAACCTTTTATCTTGAAATTGATAAGAGACCATTTTGTGTGTGTAACATAAATTTGCCAGGAAAGCCCTGGCTGGTTTGGCTTAGCGGTTAGAGCGTCGGCCTGCAGTCTGGAGAGACCCGGGTTCGGTTTCCGCTAAGGGCATGTACCTCGGTTGCAGTTTGTCCCCGGCCCTGGTTGGTCGTGCGGGTGGCAGCCACTCGATGTGTCCCTTTCACATCAATGTGTCTCCCTCTCTCTCTCTCTCCCTCCCACTCTGTCTGTACAAAAAATGGAAAAATGTCCTCAGGTGAGGATGAAAAAAACAAAAAAAAACAAAAAAAAATTTGCCAGGAAAGACCTCCATAGTGCTTGTAAATCAAGCAGGTAGCTAAAGTAGCTGCTGGTGATGTCACAGTTACTGGGGAAAATAATAGCACGGTGCCTTTGCTTGGCCTGTGAACAGACACTTTGGTTATGACTATCAAAGCTTTAGAATCTTTAATGTAATGCTCTTTGTTTAAAATGGCCTAATGCATTCCTTTCTCTCCCCAACCCCCTTTTTAAGGCAGCAGCAAAAGTAGTAGAAAGTAAAAGAGCAAGAGCAACAATATCTCAAGATAAGCCTAATGGTAATGATGCTGACATGGAAACTGAAGCTAATTTGGATGTAGCCAGAAGGTTTGCACATTTGTTGATATATTTTTTTGTCTTTATGTAAAAGTGATACTAATGATCCATTATTAATAAGAATAATTGAGCAGTGGATATATTGTCTTGCTGATGATTAACATATGGTGATTTGGAGTATGTAGAGTTATTTCAAGATTTGTATACAAATCTGTTATATATGCCAAGCAAAAATAGAGAAAACACACAGTTTAAATTGTGTAATATCATTTACCATTCTCAAGGGACATGTGCTCTGGAACAGTGTTGAGGTTGGAGACCTGAATCATCTGTGCCCCTTAGTTCTTAGATCCCACTTGCCCCATTAGGGACTGTTTGACTGCCCGAGGTTTATTCCAGTATTGAACACATTATCCATACATCTCTGAGGGCTAGCTGGCCTGCTCCAGTGCTGGAGGGAAAGAAACCGTGGTTCATTCGAACATAATGAGAGAGGAGAGTTCAGTCTCCAGGGTAATTTCTTTATGGATTTGCAAAGGTGACTTTTACAGAATTGATTTTACCTTTTGCTTTGGCCTTAGAAGTGAACTCTATCAGTAATATAAATTCTACCAGTATAAAGGCTTTCTTTTCTATTGAACCTGTGGTCCATTCTCTCTTTTCTTCTACCCTTAACCCAAGCCCAGGAGGTAGTCATCCTGTGATCTCTGGATGGATGTATTTGGCAATGAATGTAATGTTATTGTTTTTTCTTGGGACTGTGACTTAAGTGCTGAAGATTCCCTGTCTTAACTACTTATTTAGAGGTGAGGATTGGTGTCCAACAATGTGGGTGGTCATGTCTTTGGTCACATGTCAGTACTGAGCTCAGTCTTCTTATAATCTCTCCTGTCCCTGATACCAGAACAGGATTTGCTCCTCACTGGTTCATCTCCTCAAAGGCTCTGTTCAAGTCGTAGTTCTCACTGACTTTTTTTTTCTAAGATTCATTTTGAGACATTCAGACTCTATTTTTATTGGCTCAATTATTTTATTTTGTTTAGGCAATCAAAATTTAATAATACTAATATCTAATATATTCTTGTGACCCAGCCTTCCTGCCCAGTGTAATACTGCTTTAAAATTAAATTAAATTAAAACTTACCATGATTCTGGCAGATAGGGAACACCTCTTCTATGTTCCTTCCTTATATAATACCACCCACTTATTTTAAACATCTCCTAAACATAGAATAAATCAGTGTGTAAAACAGAATTCTTTATGTTCTCATCTGCTCTCTGTATCCTGACTCCTTCACCTCACACATTCAATTATCTCCCCATGTGTTCTGAATCCCATCTCAGAACTGTCTCTAACCCATCCTTTCTCATCATTTATCTCCTAGATTATTACTTAGTTTTGTACCACACAAATCTATCCTTGACATAACTTCCAGAGTTAGCTTCCCATCTGTCTCAATCACTTCACAGAATAACAACCTCTATTGGCTTTCTCTTTCTTACTAGATGAGTTAGAATCTATTGGCATGGCTTACAAAGCCCTACATAGCCCCTTTCTGGGTTTTTTTTGGTTTTGTTTATTTATTTTTCATAAATAACCTTGTCTCTAAACACTAACCCTTTGCTGTTTACACCCATGGTACTTTTAAAATTTTTTATTTTTTATCCTCACCTGAGGACATTTTTGCATTTATCTTCAGATAGAGCAGGAGGGAGGGAGAGAGAGAGAAACATCCGTGTGAGAGAGACACATCGAGTGGTTGCCACCCACACAGGGCACTCTGCAACCAAGGTACATGCCCTTAGTTAGAACCGAACCCGGATCTCTCTGGTCTGCAGGCCAACACTCTAACCACTGAGCAAAACTGGCCAGGGCCACACATGGTACTTTCTAACAACCAGAATTTCTCCCTCATTTTGAAATATAAGCTCTTTCATGCCTCGATCCTTGCTTTGATTTTGAATTTCCTTCTTTGTATTCTCTCCAAAACAAGCTGGTATTTGCCATTCGAGGTCTAGCTCAAAGATCACTTATAAGAAGTCTTGGTGAGCTCTCTGATCAGAGTTGTCACTTCTATGCTCCCATAGCACCGAGTCACACCTGTATAAAGGGACTTACATCTGTCTACCTGTCTGTATCTCTCACTAGATTGAGAATTCTTTGGAGATTCTTAATTATCTTTGTATCCTTGGTGCCCTAGTTCATTACTATGCATGTATTAGAACTTGCAGTGCACTAGATACAGGGAGCAAAACCAAAACTAGACACAAAGTAGAGACCAAGAATCAAGCAACTTATCCAAATTATCCTGGAAGCAAACACATAGAATCAGAATTATGACTGCAATGTCATACAAATGCTAGGAAAAATGAAGCCCTCATGTTATCAGTACTAGATGAAATAAATATTTTGCTCTGATAACACTTATAAACTATTTGAAGCCATAGAATTATAGATATGAAACTGAAACAGTAGCAGACATTACTTAATTTGTTAGTCGATAGATGGACTTACACGCTACAAGACTTGACCTGGACAGCTTCAAGGATGTGTGAGCCTTGGAGGGTGGTGAAGATTTTTGCAGGTGGGTGGAAGAGGAAGTGTTTCAGGAGAGAATAGTTGCAGTGAATCTGTGGTGTTTGGTGTAAAAGGTCTGCAGGCCATGTTGTAGGAGCTAATTTTAACTATCACGAAGAGCAGGGATTTATAAAAAAGTTCAGTTGGAGACTGGTGGAGAGGACAAGAAATTAAACTTGAATAGAAATAAAGCTCTATTGAAGCGTTTTCGAAAGAGTGACATTGTGAATGTTTGATTACAGCCCTAACTCTGCTTAAACTGTGTTTGGGGAGCTTGCTTTCCTATCTCTAGTGAGCATATCTGGCAAAAATTAGCCACATTGTAATGTAATGTTAACAGGGTTTCTTTCCCAAAGGTAGTTTTTATGAACTGAAATTTTTAATAAATTATGTAGAAAGTACTATTTTTTTTTTCTGTTTTAACCAGCCCTGGCCGGTTTGGCTCAGGGTTAGCACATCAGCCCTCAGACCAGAGGGTATCAGGTTTGATTCTGGGTCAAAGGCACATACCTGGATTGCAGGTTCTATACCCGTGCAGGAGGCAACCAGTCAATGTGTCTCTCTCACATCAGTTTCTTTCTCTCTCCTTCACTCCCTTCCATTCTATCTGAAAATCAATGGGAAAATATTCTCAGGCAAGGATTAACAACAACCAAAAAACTTAATTAATTTTTTTTTAACTTTATTTATTTATTTAGAGAGAGAAAGAAACACTGATTGGTTGTTCTACTTATTTATGCATTCATTGGTTGATTCTTGTATGTGCCCTGACTGGGGATTGAACCCGTAACCTTGGCATGCTGGGACGATGCTCTAACCAGCAGCTACCTGGCCAGGGTGGAAAGTACTGTTCTTATGAAACATGTCTTCTTATTACATTCTTACTATGTTTTTCTTCTTTAAAGTGTTAATGACAAACCGTCTGCAGTAACTGAATCCTCACAGGATGTAGTATCTTACTTAATAAGGTGAAGTAAATTGACATTTTTCTTCTCTGTTTTTAAAGTCTTTAGCAGTCATGCAGCCCTAGATAGGTCATAATAGCTGCCACAAAAAATGGTATGCTTTAAAGAATACCACAGGCTTCTACTTACCTCAACAGATATTCAAGACCCTGGCATGTCCTGAAATTCCAAACTAGAAAGACCTGCCTCTGGGACCCGGGCTGTTTCACATTGTTCCCACAAGGCCATTACTGGAATACGTGCAGGGAATACCCGCAGGGAGTACTTGAACTGAAAGCAGAAGTTTAGTGAATTCTTACTCAGCCATAGAAACCAGAATATGATACTGGGGCGGGAGGGGGATGGAGGCTACATTTCTGATGAATGTACCAAATTTTGAATTTTTAAAAAAATATGTTTTTGTTGATTTTTTAAAACTTATTTTTTAAATGTTTTTATTGACTTTAGAGAGAGAGAGAAACATTGATGTGAAAGAGAAACATCATTTGGTTGCCTCCCATATGCATCCCGACCAGGGATTAAACCAGTGACCTTTTGGTGCATGGGATGATGTTCAACCAACTGAGCCACACTGGCTAGGAGCTAAATTTCAATCTTATGAAATTACTTGAAAAACTGTATTGAATCTACTAGAAATGCTGTGACAGCCAGTGTCACATGTTCAGAGAGCAGAAAATCTGCATGAATAATTTCAGAGATAGAGCAGTGAGCGGAATCATGTTGGGGTGGCTGACTTGATGGGGAAAGGAGCTCACTGGAAATGAGAAATTGAGAGGCCAGGATGTTACATGCATTTTCTATGGGAACACTGAAATAACTAAGATAATAGCTGCAATTAGGGGTAGAGAGATCGCTGAATGATGGGAAGTGCTTGGAAGAATATTGGTTGACTCTGAAGAATGGTAGGTGGTGTGCACCTCAGTGGCACAAGGTCTGGGTGGAAGCAAGATCCGGAATGTGTCATTCATTAGGAAATGAAAAGTAGAGACCCAGCTCTGGGACTCTGGTTCATGGAAGGTGGAAGATTAAGTCAATCTCTACTTGAGTAGGCCACAAAGGAGAGAAAAATTGTCCCCAGGGCAGAGCTACCTGTTAAACAAGGCGAAGAGGTGTGGGGTAACTGGTGAAGAGGCTGAGAATGCAATGGCGAGCGATCCAGAGAGCACAGGAGAAAGTTTTGGGAGGGCGGGGAAGGATTAGCAGATTGTATAGAGCATTTACAGGGGTGAAAGTAGAGATTTTAGGGGTGATAAAAGAGCTGCCTATAAGTCTAAATGAACTACTTTCTTCATCATAGTTTATACCTTTGTAAAATTGGAGTAATACTAACTTTGCAGGGTTATCTGAAAATTCTGCCACATCCTGTATTTCTAAACAGCTTTACCTTTCAAAAAAGCCCTTTTTGAAAGCTATAAGGATAATCAAGTGATATCTGCCATCATGTATAAAGGAATTTTGGAATTTCTCTTTGGGAAAATGAATTTATAAACCATTAGAGAGAATGAAAGTTAATCCTTTGCAGTCAGGGGATTTTTTTTTTCTTGATCTAATTGAAAGGCCAAAAGAATCTTGATTTCTGAGTAGATGAGATGGAGAAAATAAGTACTGGGAGAAAGGGAAGTCTGATAAGAAAAATCTCAAGAAGCCATAGCTAAGATAGGTTAGGGAGATTATCAAAGGAAACAGGCCAAAGTAGAATGACTGAGAACAGATAATACAAATCATTTACCTTTTACCATAGCTTTCCCAGTCTTTGTGAAACCAATCACAAGCTTTGATGTTTTATTTAGGTCTCACAAGACTCTGTTATTTAAGTCACAACGTGGACACCAACAACAGGATTTTAATGAGAAAGAAGAAAGAGCAGAAACTCATAGAAGTGAGTATTCTTTTTACAGTTTAGAAGTAGAAAATTGATGTGTTCTCAAAAGTGAGCCAGCCCTTGACCTCATTATCACAGCACACAAACACACTCCAGAAAATCGAAGCACAAGGAGATTAAATGTCATGACTTCACAAGTTAGTCAGAGGTAGGTGGTGGCTCAGAAAGTTACTTGTTCTGACTGCCTGGCTTGCATACTTTTGCTATGGTGGTATACTGCTTTTCTGCTGTAACTTTGTTTAGCAACTTGAAATAGTTGCTTATCTGAAACATAAATACAATTGATTCTTGTTATTCATGGTAGTTATGTTCTCTAAAGTCTCCACGAACACTGAATTAGTGAATATTGAAACATGACGGGGTTAGGTTCCTTGGAGCCTCTGATCGCATTTTTGTCAACTGATCAATACATAACCTTGCTTTATGTGTTTCTGTTTAAAGGCACCTTATTAAATATATATTGTATATCCATTAACATTGAACTCAGGACCAACAACACTGAATCATGCCTGAGTGAAGCACATCTCACATCTCTCTGAAGGAACCCTTCCGGCCCTTAGGAACACTAAGGCATTCCACGGCACACTTGGCCATTTTTAAATTACCAATAAAATTACCAACAAATATCACAAAAATGTAGCACTAAATAGACTATTATAAGGACAGTTATTTATAGCATGAGAGCTAAAATTAAGATGGCAGAGCTTCACCGTGTTTAACTTCAGCTGGGAATGTGCTCATCAGGTAACACATTTTTTGCCACTCTGCGCCTGTCTGTCAGTGACCACAAAAGCACTCTGAGTATTGACTTTTGAGTTACAAATTTTAATAGGTGAATTTGCAAATATAGAATTTATGAATAATGAGAATTGACTATATATAGAATCTAGCTATCCTCATTGCATTCAGAATTTATTATCCTTATTAAAGACATCACTGGATTGATTTAAGAAACAAGCAACAATAACCAAAAATAAATCTTTGAAATAGTCCATAATTATTTTTTAATTATAATTTGATTGTATGTTCCTTCTTAGTATGTATGCATTCAACTAATGTTTATTAAACTGACACTATGTTCTAGACGCTACACTAATTCAGGGGTTTTAAAACCCATTGATCCAAACCTAAATACACTGATCAATATAAAAATAATAGATGTGCCCATAACAGTGCCTCGGGCGCAAGTTGCTGAGGTCCTACCACTCGGGCCGGGGCATGCGCCCTGCCCCAAGTCTGTGGTGGAAGCAGGAGGCCTTGGGGTGAGGGGAGGACTGCTCTTCTGGCCTTAGGACGCATCCTAAAGGCGGCAGAGATGGGGCTGAGCCCAAGCGAGCTCGGGAGACAGACCCCGAGTGGTGAGACCTAAAGGGCAAGGAATTAAAGTTTCAGTACAGAAGATGCTGTAAATGATGATGATTTTGAGCCATACTTAAGTAGCCCGACAAATCAGAGTAATAGCTATCCACCAATGTCAGATCCATACCTGCCTAGTTACTATGCTCCATCCATTGGATTTCCATATTCTCTGGGGGAAGCAGCATGGTCCACGGCTGGAGACCAGCCTATGCCATATCTGACAGCCTATGGACAAATGAGTAACGGAGAACATCATTATATACCAGATGGTGTATTTAGTCAACCTGGGGCATTAGGAAACACCCCTCCATTTCTTGGTCAGCATGAATTTAACTTTTTTCCTGGTAATGCTGATTACATGGGGGACAAGTGGATCTCAGAGACAATCAACGCAAAGTTCTGCTTACATTAGAAGTTATGGCTATCCACCGAGTTCTCTCGGGAGAGCTATTACTGATGGACAGGCTGGATTTGGCAGTGATACTTTGAGTAAAGTGCCTGGCATCCTCAGTATTGAGCAAGGCATGACTGGACTGAAAACTGGTGGTGACCTGACACTGCAGTGACAACAACTGTAGGTACAGCCTTGAGCAGCAGTGGTATGACTAGCTTTGCAACCAGTAGTGTGCCCCCAGTTAGCAGTGCAGCACCTAAACCAACCTCCCGGGCCGCCATTGCCAGAAAGCCTGCCAAACCTCAACCGAAACTGAAACCCAAGGGCAGTGTGGGAATTGGGGGTTCTGCTGTGCCACCACCTCCTATAAAACACAACATTAACATTGGAACTTTGGAAGATAAGGGGTCAGTGGTAAAGGCTCCACCAACGCAACCAGTGCTTTCTCCTCAAACTATAATTGAGCAGCCTCAGCCATAATTCAACCACCACCATTGGCGCAAAGCCAACTGCCTCAACAGCAGCCTCAGCCACCACAACCACAGCAGCAACAAGGACCTCAGCCACAGGCCCAGCCTCACCAAGTGCAGCCCCAACAGCAACAGCTGCAGAACCGTTGGGTAGCTCCTCGGAATAGGGGAGGTGGCTTCAACCAGAACAGTGGAGCGGGCGGTGAACACGGGTTTAGGTGTTGTTCCTGTCAGTGCTTCACCTTCTAGTGTAGAGGTACATCCAGTGCTGGGAAAGCTAAAGGCCATAAACAACTGTTATCCTAAGGACTATGACTGGAACCTGAAGAATGGACGTGTGTTTATAATTAAAAGCTATTCTGAGGGTGACATTCCCCGTTCAATTAAGTACTCTATCTGGTGTAGTACTGAGCATAGTAATAAGCATTTGTATGCAGCTTACCATTCCCTGAATGGGAAAGGCCCACTCTATTTACGCTTTAAAAAAAAAAAAAAATTCTCTATTGATTTTAGAGAGAGAGGAAGGGAGAGGGAGAGAGCGAGAGAAACATTGTTGAGAACATCAATTGGCCACCTCCTGTATGCCCCCCCACACACACACACACTGGGGATTGGGCCCACAACCTGGACATGTGTCCTGACTGGGAGTCGGACCGGTGACATCGTGCATTTGTCGACTTTCAACCACTGAGCCACACCAGCTGGATCTATTTACTCTTCAGTGTGAATGACAGTGGACATTTTTGTGGAGTGGCTGAAATGAAATCTGTTGTGGACTGTAATGCATATGCTGGTGTCTGCTCTCAGCGTAAGTGGAAGGGCAAATTTGAAGTTAAGTGGATCTTTGTCAGAGATGTTCCCAATAACCAATTACGGCATATTCACTTAGAAAATAGTGAAAACAAACCAGTTACCAATTCAAGAGGTACCCCTAGAAAAAGCTAACCAAGTGCTTAAAATAATTGCTACTTTCAAGCATACCACCTGAATCTTTGATGACTTTGCACATTATGAAAAATGTTAAGAAGAGGAAGCCATGCGTAGGGAGAGAAACAGAAACAAACAATAACCGTATGAAGATGTCCTCTTAGAATTACAACACTAATGATATAGACGCTGGAAATGCCTAATAAGTCAAAGAAGATGTTGTTAAAGCTTTTTTCCTGCTTAAGGTGACGTCTTTGAACACAGTTTAACACAGAACTGACTCTTGTAATGGTTTTCATCAGCACATCTGTCCTTATACTCACCAACCACACTTGAGAACTATAACTTCGTCAAGCACTTTCCGTCCTGAAGCTTTTACCAGTATCTGCTGTCTTCTTTAATTATGCATCCTAGCCAAGGCACAGAAGACTGAATGAGTGCACGGATTCATTAACTCTGAATTTGTTAAATACTAACAGTTAACCATTAGAAGTGGATCAATGATGTAAGAGTCACACTGCTTCAATTTTTTTTTATAGTTTTTAAATTGTCAATTTTTAGCTATTTGACAGATTAAAAGCAAAATAGTCATGCCATATTTAGTCCTGGAGTTCAAGTCTAAATGTTTATGTGAAGAATTAATGTAGTAAACTTTTACTGTGGCAAAGCAACCTTAAGCTCTATTTTAGCCAAATGAAACATAATGTGAGATTTTATTAGAACATTTCCCTTGTCTTTAAACTGTTTGGTGTAACAGATTATTGATATGAGCTTAGTGGATTTCACTAGTTAATGCACATTCTTCTCCCCTCCTTCCCCCAATAATATGTATACTGAAAAATGTGCATTTGTCTGAGGAACTGTTTGCTACCACTTAATGAATCTCAGAATTTTGAGTATATGTGCCTCAGTCTAATCAGACTTTTTATGACCTTTATAATTATATTTAAAACCCTTAATTCCTATTTCTGGGTATTTACGAGCTGATTGCTGTCATGAAGTAAAAATTTATTACTCTAGGTATTCACTAGCTAAATAAACATAGTTCTTGTTCAGCAAGCAAAAAAAAAAAAAAAATAGATGTACCAACTTGATGCCAGGCACATAGTAGTCCTGCAGTAAATATTAATTGAATAAATTTATTTATAGTTGATGGCTGATGACATGGCCACTCTTAGCTAATATTTATACATTACAGCTCAAAAATATTTATACCCATAGATACTGTCATCATCCTCATTTTAAAGATGGTAACTTAAACTCAAAGAAATAATTTGCTTCATGTTGGTGAAGTTCCAGATTTGTTTTCCACCATCTGTTGCTACAAAATGGTTAGGAATTATAGTTCTAAACTAAAATAATTTGGTTTCCTTGACCTACTTAGATGCCTATCTGACTTAACTATAGAAACTGCTTGGTGTTGGGAAATAAATAAGCCTTGTACATTCAGCAAGAACTGTAGAGATGCTCAGGGCCCATGGTGAACTACCTCTCATAACACAATTTTAGAATAATATTAAGTTCTACAAAAGAGCCCTGTTGAAATTTTTATAAGTTACTGCATATAGATCTTGATCACTTTACTAGATTTATGCCTAAGAATATAATATTTTTGTTACTATTACAAATACTATCTTACAGTTGTTTTAATTAAATATTTTAACTTGCTAATGTACAGAAATACTGAGTTTTGTTTATTGAGCTAACCATTACATAATTGTTTATTATCTAAACATCTTGCTAAACCCTTTTTAATTCTATTTATAGATTCTTTTAGCTTTTCTATACAAAAAAAATTCTTACAATGATTATAGTTCTGTATCTTTTCAGTTACATTTGTGTATCTTGTTTTACTAAACTGAATAGGAAAGAAGGAGTAAGGGAAGAGTTAATACTACATTGTGTCAAATACTTCTTAAATATTATCTTAAGAAAATTTCAACAATCCTATTAGGTAAATATTATTTCTCTTTTTAACAGATGATGAAAAGGCAGGTTCTGGGAGGTGAGATGACTTGTTTAAAGATAAAAGAATCAAGATTCCAAACACACCCCCTATGAGTTTTCACTACTGTACACCATTGCTGTTTCGAAATTTAGAGGGGGGAAATTAAGCACATAGAATACTTTCTCTTTAAAATAGCTAAAAAGTAAATAAGAATTTTATGGTAATCTTTAAAAATACAGTTCTCTTTTTCTTTTAATGTAAAACAATATATGATGGCAGTTTTTGTACTTTTAGGTAGAAGACAGACAGAGAGAAGCAGACAAGCCACTGAAAGAAAGAGAATGAATGTTTTAAACAATCAGCCAGAAACGTCTAAAAATCATCGATCTAGAAAGAAACAGGTATTTGTTTTAATTCTTAAATAATACTTAATGAACAGTAAAGTCGTAACTTGAAAAATTGTGATTATTTCATGTCAACCCTAAAAAAATCATGAGTATACAATGTTTCTTCTTTTTTTATTAATTTATTTTTGTTACAGATGTTTCTCCTTTTTTACCCCATTGGCACCCTCCTCCCCATCCCCCCCATCCCGTCTCCAGCTTTGTTGTCCATGTCCATTGGTTATGCATACATGCATATAATTTCTGTGGTTTATCTCTTCCCTCCTCCCCCAACCCCTCTTCTGAAGGTTGTCAGTCTGTACCTGACTTTCATGTCTCTGGGTCTACCCTGTTACCCAAACTATTATATTCATTATATTCCACAAATAAGTGAGATCATATGATATTTGTCTTTTTCTGCTTGGCTTGTTTCGCTTAGGATAATACTCTCCAGGTCCCTCCATGTCATCTCAAAGGATAAGAGATCTTTCTTTCTTACAGCTGCATAGTACTCCATTGTGTACACCTTTTTTATCCATTTGTCTACTGATGGACATTTGGGCTGATTCCAGATGTTAGCTATTGTAAATAGTGCTGCTATGAACACGGTGGTACATATATTCTTTCTGATTGGTGTTTCAGGCTTCTTAGGGTATATTCCTAGAAGTGGTATCACTGGATCAAATGGAAGTTCAATTTTTAATTTTTTGAGGTAACACCATACTGTTTTCCATAGTGGCTGCACCAGTCTGCATTCCCACCAGCAGTGTACCAGAGTCCCCTTTTCTCCACACCCTCGCCAACACTTGTTTGATGATTTATTGATGGCAGCCATTCTGACAGGTGTGAGGTGATACCTCATTGTTGTTTTAATTTGCATCTCTCTGATGATTAGTGATGTTGAGCATTTCTTCATATGTCTCTTAGCCATTTGTATGTTCTGTTTAGAGAGGTGTCTATTTAGTTTCTCTGACCTTTTGTTTTTAGCTTTTTATCCTCACCCAAGGACATTTTTTTCAGATAGAATGGGAGGGAGAGAGAGGAAGAGGGAGAGAGAAAGAAACATCGATGTGAAAGGGACACATCAAGTGGCTGCCATCCACATGACCAACCAGGGCCGGGGACAAACTGCAACCGAGGTACGTGCCCTTAGCGGGAACCGAACCCGGTTCTCTCTACACCGCAGGCTGATGCTCTAACCACTGAGCAAAACTGGCCAGGGCCCTCTGCCCATGTTTTTTTTTGTTTTGTTTTTTTTAGAATTTTTGCTTTGCTCAGATCAAAGTCTTTACGTTTATTTATTTTTTTAATCCTCATCTGAGGACATTTTTCCATTTTTTGTACAGATAGAGTGGGAGGGAGAGAGAGAGCGAGAGAAACATCGACGTGAAAGGGACACATCGAGTGGCTGCCACCCGCACGACCAACCAGGGCCGGGGACAAACTGCAACCGAGGTACATGCCCTTAGCGGGAACCGAACCCGGGTCTCTCCGGACCGCAGGCCGACACTCTAACCGCTGAGCCAAACCGGCCAGGGCTCTCTGCCCATTTTTTAATTGGGTTCTTTGTCTTCCTTTTGTTGATTTGTATGAGCACTCTATATATTTTAGAAATTAACCCCTTACCTGATGTATCATTGGCAATTATGCTCTCCCATACAGTGGGTTGCCTTTCCATTTTGGTGGTTGTTTCTTTTGCTGTGCAGAAAAGCTTTTGAGTTTGATGTAGTCCCATGTGTTCATTTTTTTCTTTGTTTCTGTTGCCTTAGGTGATGTATCAGTGAAAATTCTGCTGCGTATGTTTGAAATTTTGTTGCCTACATTTTCTTCTAGGATTTTTATGGATTCATGAGTCACATTTAAGTCTTTTATCCATTTTGAGTTTATTCTTGTGTAGGGTGTAAGTTGATGGTCTAGTTTCATTTTTTTGCATGTAGCTGTCCAATTTTCCCAACACCATTTATTAAAGAGGCTGTCTTTACTCCATTGTATGCTCTTGCCACCTATGTCAAATGTCAATTGAGCATATTGTCTTGGGTCCATTTTTGGGTTCTCTATTCTGTTCCATTGATCTGTGTGCCTGTTCTTATGCTAGTACCAGGCTGCTTTGAATACAGTGGCTTTGTAGTAAAGATGAATCAGTTTGAAGACTCACTTCGTTTATTTCTCCTCTCAGTGAATCTAGTCCTGTGCCATCTGTACAGTGTCTGAAACTATTGTTTTCTGTATTTTATCTGGTTTTCTAGTTCTTTACAGAAAGTGAATAAATTTGGTCCTTATTCTATTATGGATGGAAGTGGAAAGTGATCCTGTACCTTTTTTTTTTTCACTCTTCTGTGTTAAACATGACATATGTTTTTCTTTTTGATAAGCTTTTTGCAAATGGTTTATATTGAGATGTTAGAGCTAGGATCAGGTTCCAGGCTACTAGGAGTATCTGCTTTAGCCTTGCCTTCTCCCCCAGTGAACATAGCAAGCAAGAACTGCTTTTGCTTTGCTTTCTGCACATATTGCTTATCTGTGTGATTCCTTATTTAGTCTCATCACCTCTATTTTTGGAACTATTACAGATTGAGGGAGGCTGTTGCTGTTGCAGACTAGAAATTTAGGGTGTGCACCTCAGGATGTGTTTCTTACTTTGGAACGGTGTCCACCACAGACTGAGATCTGTAAACAGGGTGCCTGTGCCCTGTTTCTTCGAATACCTTTTGTGAGTTTCTGCTGATAATGTATCCCTTTCTCCTATATTATGGTTCAGGTCACAGAGGTCTTCTAATTTTATCAGAGTTCGGGGTTTTCTTTCTTTCTTTTAGTTATTGGGTGAATTCCCAAAAGAGAATGGGGAAATGCGGAACTAAACCACCAATAGTTTTACATATTTTTGTCTTTGATTTTTTTTTTTTTTTTTGCACTGTAAATATGACATGCCACGGTGTATTTTTTTTTTCTCTTTTTTTTGTATTTTCCTACTTTGTATTCTCCGATCTTCCTGGACCTGTTTTAGTGTCTGTCATTAATTTTGGAAAATTCTCAGCCACTTGCCCGGGCCGAATGGCTCAGTGGATTAAGCGTCATCCCATGGACTGAGAGGTCCTGGTTCGATTCTCCATCAGGGTACATGTCTGGGTTTCAGGCTCAATCCTCAGTAGGGGGCGTGCAAGATGCAGCCGATCAATGTTTCTCACATCGATGTTTCTATTTCCCCCCCCCATCTCTAAAAAAAATCGATAGAAACATTTTAAGTAAAAAATAAAAATAAGTAAATTAAGCTGAATAAATGTGTGGCAACTCCTTACACAAAATAAATTATTATCTTGGGGACCATAAAATTGATAGATTTTTCAAAGGGGAGTCTGAATGATCCCTGAAGTTTCATGTAAAATTTTATATACTTTTACTTGTCTGTTAAGTGGGTCAAGACAAGTGAACCACTCAAGGTTCATCTATGTTGTAGTATCCATATCTTTTATCACATTCTCAAAGATTTATTTGACCCCAAAGCCACTGCCAAAGTACCTGTGATCAATAAGTCCATCCATTTTGGTTTTGTGTCTGTTTGTGTCAGTGTAGTGACGCTTTGTGGGAGCAGTGACTAGGGAGCAAAGTGGGCTGGATTGGTTAGTCTAGATCATTGGAGGAGGTCCATTTTTGTTAGAGACCGAGGAGCTGTGTACCTGGGGCAGCACAGCTGCTGAGAGGTGGCAGCTCAACACTCTAAAAGGGGGTGACTTATGGTTACAGTCCGTTTCATGGCATTTACACATGATTGTTTTCATCTGGTTTGTGTTCTTCAAGCCACCTGGAGTTCTTTTTAATAGTACACCAATCAACTGAGGTAGATAGTTTTTCTTTAATTGTAGTAAAATTTACATAAAATTTACCATCTTAATCATTTTAAAGTGTGTAGTTCAGTGGCATTAAACACATTCATATCATTGTGTTGCCATTAACACCATCCATCCACAGAACTCATCTTGCAAAACTGAAATTGTTCCCATTAAACAGGAACTCCATTTGTCCCTCCTCTGGCAACTACCGTTCCAGTTTCTATCTCTGAATTTTACCATTTTAAGTACCTCATATAAATGGAATCATACAGTATTTGTTCTTGTATGTTCGACTTATTTCACTTAGCACAATGTTTTTGAGATCCATCCATGTGGAAGTATGTGTCAGAATTTTCTTCCTTCTTTTCTAATCCTCAACTAAGGACATTTTCCCATTGATTTTCATATAGAGTGTGGGAGAGAGAGAAAGAGAAGTATAGATGTGAGAGAGATACATTGATAGGTTGCCTCCTGCTTGACCCCAACTACGACCAGGGATTGAACTGCAACCAAGGTACATGCCCTTGACCAGAAGTAAACTCTCAACTCTGTTCTGCAGGCTAATGCTCTAACCACTGAGCAAGACCGATCCAGGCATGAATTTTCTTCCTTTTTAATGCTGAATAATATCACATACTTTTATACCATATTTTGCTTTTCATTCATCAGTCTGGACACTTTTGTTTCTTCTACCTTTTGGCTAGTGAGAATCGTACTGCTGTCAACATCTGTGTTCACATTTCTCTTCAGGTACCTTCTTTCAGTTCTTTTGGGCATATACCCACAAGAAGAATTTCTGGATCACATCATAATCTTATTTTTAATTTTTTTGAGCAACCACCATACTATTTTTTATAGCGGCCATATAATTTTGCATTCCCACCAACAGGGCATAAGAGTTCCAGTTTGTCCACATCTTAACACTAATGTTCTTGGGTTTGTTTTGTTGTTTTGTTTGTTATAGTAGATATTCTGATGGGTGTGAGGTGGTGTCTCCCTGTGGTTTTGATTTGCATTTCCCTGATGATTAATGATGTTGAGCATCTTTTCATGTGTTTATTGGCCATTTGTATATCTTCTTTGGAGAAATAACTATTCAAGTCCTCCATTTATTCTTAATTATTTTTAAGTGTATGGTTTAGTGGCTTTCAGTACTTTCACATTGTGCAACAGTTCTTCAGAACTTTTTCCTCTTGCAAACTGAAACTACACCCATTAAACAACTCCCCATTTGATTTTTTTAAATGTTAAGCAATTTTCTCCAGAAATAAAATAGTATATTTTTAGCTAGTTTGTGTTAGTTGTGTTTTCAAAACCTACTTTACAAAAATTTCAAAATTTTTGTTTAAAGCATAATAGTTATTTTTCTGTGACAATTATTTAATTAGTGTAAGGATTTGTTTTATATGAGGAATATGCCATCATTGTATTCTTTAAGAACCTTTTTACTTGGATTAAATGTAAGTTTGTCAAACCCTGATGCTTTGACTACCACTGCCCCCAAAACTACTTTACAGAAGTTTTGAGTTTTACATATATGTATACTTTGATCAACATACAACAGAATTTTCACTTAGTTCATTAATGAAATATTAAATATTTATAAATTCTTTTTAGAGATATACAGGAATAATAAAAACCAGTCTGCCAGTAATTGTAGAAAAGTATTTTAGGAGACAGTGGGAACTTAAAGTCAGATGATTTTGGTTGGTGTTTAGCTCTGTCACTTTGTAGCCCGGATTTGAGCATTTGAACCATAGTACATTTTCGTAAAACAAACAATTATTAGGGTAAGGGCCCTTAAAAATCTCAGTATGCTAAATAGGAGGTCTTACATGAGTCTAAGAAATGTATACAGGAATTCTTCCATCTTTAAGAAACTGTAATGTGCCCTGGCGGGTTTGGCTCAGCGGTTAGAGAGTCAGCCTGTGGTCCAGAGAGACCCAGGTTCTATTCCCACTAAGGGCGCGTACCTTGGTTTCAGTTGTCCCTAGCCCTGGTTAGTCATGTGGGTGGCAGTCACTCAATGTGTCCCTTTCACATCAATGTTTCTCTCTCTCTCTCCCCCACTCTGTCTGAACAAAAAATGGAAAAATGTCCTCGAGTGAGGATAAAAATAAAAAAAAAGACTGTAATGTTATTTTGATTAAGGAAAAAAACAGTTCCATTTATAGTGGGTATATTCTTTAAAGAATTGTTTTCTGTGAATAACTGTTTTATTTTTTATCTACTTTTGGTGGATGTTAACTAGACTTATTCTGGTGATTATTTCATAGTATATACAAAGAGCACATCATGTTGTACACCTGAAACTAATGTCATTTGTCAGTGATACCTCATTTAAGAAATGTAAAGAGTTGTTCTCTGAATAACTATTTAATTTTTCTTTTAACTGTTTATTTATTTATTTTTTTTAATCAAAAGGCCTGGCTTTGGGAAGAAGACAAGAATCTGAGATCTGGCGTGAGAAAATATGGAGAGGGAAACTGGTCTAAAATACTATTACATTACAAATTCAACAATCGAACAAGCGTTATGTTAAAAGACAGATGGAGGACTATGAAGAAGCTAAAACTGATTTGCTCAGACAGTGATGACTGAATGTGTAAGAACTTGATAAAAGGACAGTTAAATATTCTGATCATCACGGTTTATTTGACACTTGGTGGTCACTGAAGTATCTTAAAAATTTTTGTTTAAAGCATAATAGTTATTTTTCTGTGACAGTTATTTAATTAGTGTGAGGATTTGTTTTATATGAGGAATATGCCATCATTGTATTCTTTAAGAACCTTTTTACTTGGATTAAATGTAAGTTTGTCAAACCCTGATGCTTTGACTACCACTGCCCCCAAAGCCTGTGCCAATAAAAAAAAAAGAAAGAAAATCTAAGAGAAAAAACATTTCTGTGAATCTGTATTTTGTGTTTGTATGCTGACTTCAACTCCAAAACATACACATAAAAAAGAGTTTCTAAATCAGTGAATAATAATGAGCCTTTGACATAAGAGGTAATGACTTGATTTGTGGTTTTGATACAGTAATTACTCAGACATTTGTTTATAGAATGATACAAGGTAATCTTTGAGTTTTAACATACTTAAATTTTCCTTTCAGTAGTTTTACATAAATAGTAATAGTAGTTATGAGACAAAATTTGTCTGATGTGCTTTATGTCTCATTTAAGTATATTTGACTTTTGTTCCTGTGTTAAAACTTGGACAAAGAGCCCTGGCCAGTAATGCTCAGTGGTTAGAGCGTTGGCCCACGGATCAGAGAGTCCCGACTTCGGTTCCCACTAAGGGCACGTACCTCGGTTGCAGTTTGTCCCCGGCCCTGGTTGGGGTCGTATGGGTGGCAGCCACTCTATGTGTCTCTCTCACATCAATGTTTTTCTCTCTTTCCCTCCCACTCTATCTGAAGATAAATGCAAAAATGTCCTTGGGTGAGGATTAAAAAAAAAAAAAACTTGGACAAAGATGATTTTAATAAAGCTTATTTATACCTGGCACCATAAATATCATTTTCCTTGATAGTTTTTGTTTTATATATCAACAGTGTGCCTAAATAATGTTCTGTAAGTGCTTACATTGATGTTAACCATGATCGTTTTTACATCTATGATAAATACTAAATAAACAAGGTCACACATACCTTACTAGACAATTTTGAAGTTTCACCAACAATTAATTCTTTAGAGAATTTAGTTAAAAAGTAATATAGTTATTTAGCATTTTGAGTTGCATGTGCTTTAATTAACAAGTGAATGAAAATACTGAGGTGTATGCATAAGAAGTTAATGATGGTATTTTATAATCTCTATTTCATTTCTTATTGCATTACACATTCTCATTGTTCCTGAATTTGTTGTCCTATACATGTAGTAAACAGAAATGTGGGTGATTATGTTTCCTGACTAAAGTCTATTTTGTTACCCTAGTTACTGTTACTGTTTATAGCAGACATTTTTATGGTTAGTGCCAAAGCAGGCAGCATGAGCCAACGTAGATGTGGAAGTCAGGTTCGTGCAGTAAATCGAATCTAAATTGGCATTAACTATAAGATGCTCAATTATCTTATGTGCCATAAAAAAGATTACTATCGCCCTGACTGGTTTGGCCCAGTGGTTTGACTGTTGGCCCGCGGACCAAAGAGTCCCGGGTTCAGTTCCTGCTAAGGGCATGTACGTTGGTTGCAGTTTGTCCCCGGCCCCAGTTAGGGTCACGCGGGTGGCAGCCATTCCATGTGTCTCACATTGATGTTTCTCTCTCTCTCTTTCTCCCTCTCTCCCTCCCGCTCTATCTGAAGATACATGCAAAGATGTATTCGGGTGAGGATTAAAAAAAAAAAATTACTATCAAATGTAGTGTAGTGCTTTCTTATTTAGAATTTTATTTTACTTATTAAAAGGGCTAGTTTAGATTTAATTAAAATGTAGACTTTTATAACTTTTAGAAACATAAAAAGGGAAAGCAGAATAAATTGGACAATGCATTTTTAAAACTTTGTCATCTTAAATCTGAATCTTTTGAGTTTTTTACATTGAAATTTTTGTTGAGATAATTGTCGATTCACATGTAGTAAGAAATAATACAGAGATGTCCCTTGTTTCAGTTTCCCCTTATATTAATTTGTAAAACTACAGTATATTGATGCAATCCACCAATCTTACTCAGATTTCCCCAGTTTTGCTTGTCCTATGTGTATTTAGTTGTAAACAGTTTATCATTTTTTTAGGTCTGTGCATCTACCACCACAGGCAAGACTGATCCCCTTCAGCACCGGATCCCTCCCGCTGTCTCATGCCCCCGGCACCGCACCTCCAGCCCCTGGCAGCCACTGACCTGGCCTCCATTTCTAAATGGAATCTTTTTTTTTTAATCCTCACCTGAGGACTTTTTCACATTTTTTGTTCAGATAGAGTGGGAGGGAAAGAGAGAGAGAGAGAAACATCGACGTGAAAGGGACACATCGAGTGGTTGCCACCCGCACGACCCAACCAGGGCCGAGGGACAAACTGCAACCGAGGTATGTGCCCTTAGTGGGAACCGAACCCAGGTCTCTGGACTGCAGGCCGACGCTCTAACCGCTGAGCCAAACCGGCCAGGGCTAAATGGAATCATTTTAATCATCATAGTGACATCACCAAAATGGTGGAGTAGGGAGCTCCGAAGAACCTTCCTTTACTGGAGCAACTTAAGCTGGCAAAACTGTTAGAATCAACTTTCGAAACTGTGGAATGTAATAACTTAAAACAACCAGGGATTATTTTATGAAGAAGCCACTGGACCTTGGTAGGATTGTGCTGTTTTGCTTACTCTGCTTGTGAGGACAGCAGCCCGCTCCTTCGTGCAGCCTCACGGTGCCAGGGGCAGAGCAGACCCTGTGCGGACTGTGGTTGTCTGACCTTTTGGGGGTTTCATTCAGAGGTTTGCCTTTGTTTTGCCCCCTCTGAATTCTCTGCCTTAAAAACATGACCTACAGCTGCCTGGGGCCGGGGATGGCAGAGAAGGAGGCGGCAGACAGACTGGAAATCCTGGGAGGAAGATAACGGGGGTGAGGACTTTGAAGGACTGGGGTGAACCAGGGAATCAAGACGGCCGTGCACATGCCCAGGGCTGGACACAGTCTCAAAAAACCTGGGAGATTCCAGGCCTCCACCTGTGAAGGAGCGTTGGGTTCACCTGTGCTGCAGGTAGAGGTGAGTGGGAGCTGGGGTGGCCTGGCTAAGCACTGAACGACCGCCCCAACTTGGCCAACCTGCACAGGCAGAATACCTTGTTTCTCTTTCTTATGAGCATGTAAGGACATTAAATGAAATATTCTATGTATTCTTTGCTATTTTCTCTTTCATTCAACATATGTATGTTATAATGTAGCTGTAGTTTGATCATTTCTGTACGGTAACACATTATATAATTATATCGAGCATTTACCTATTATGCTGCTGAGCATTTGAGTTATGGGAATAAATGAAGACCACACAAAAATGAGAACAAACAGGCTAGTGACTCGGAGCTTTCTTTTTTTTAAATTGGATTTATTGGAGTGACATTGGTTAATAAAATTATATAGGTTTCAGGGGCATACTTCTATCGTACATCTCTACATTACGTTTTGTGTTGACCGAGTCAAGTCAAGCCTCCTTCCATCACCATTTATCCCCCCTTTACCCTATTCTACCACCCCCTTTCCCTCTGGTAACCACCATACTGTTGTCTGTGTCTCTGCGTTTGTTTTTGCTTAATCCCTTCACCTCTATCACCCAGCCCCCTAAACCCCTCTCTGACAGCTGTCAGTCTGTGCTCTGTATCAATGAGTCTGTTTCTATGTTGTTAGTTCATTTTGTTCATTAGATTCCACATATAACTGAAATCATATGGTACTTGTCTTTCTCTGACTGGCTTATTTCACTTCGCTTAATAAGGTCCATCCATGTTGTCACAGAAGATAAGATTCCCTTTTATTTTACGGCCAAGTAGTATTCCATTGTGTAAGTGTACCACAGGGCACTCGGAGCTTTCTGTAGCAGGGGAGTCAGCCACCATCACTTGTGTGTGGCAGGGGCTATCCGGCGCAGAGATCTCATACTGGGAAGGAAAGCTTTGGCGTGAAAAGCAAAGGGAAGGCAGGCCGGCCCTGACTGGAGGTGGTTGGTGTGAGGAAGCTGCAGGATGGCCCACTAGCACCGGCGTCTTGTGTGATTGGAGAACATACTTGGCTTTCTCTGATTGGTTCTGAGTTGGAAATGAGGACAGAGAATTAGGGGTGTTGACAGCTGTCAGCCAGGTCCTGACTCTGGGTGGATTGCTGTGCAGGTTTGCTTTGGCCTCCTCAACTGATTGTTGCGGAGGTTGTGGGTCAGAGTTTGTTGTCAGCGAGGTCTGACCAGTGTCTGTTTATATTCAGTCTCAGAGTTGATTTCAGTTGTAGCCACGAGGCTTTTCCAATTTACATGCATTGAGATATTGAGAATAATATTAACTCGTAAATAAACTGAAAAGTTAGCTATGATATTGAAACCCCAGAGCAACCGTTTGAAAGAATACAGCAGATATAGCCCAGCTGGTGTGGCTCAGTGGTTGAGCGTCAACCCACGCACCAAGAGGTCACGGGTTCGATTCCCAGTCAGGGCACATGCCCAGGTTGTGGGCCTGATCCCCAGTGGGGGGCGTGCAGGAGGCAGCCAGTCAGTGTTCTCTCTCATCGATGTCTATCTATCTCCCTCTCTGTATAAAATCAATAAAGAAAAATAAAATAAAATAAAATGATACAGATATATACCCAATTGCTAAATTAAAATAGAATATTCAAAATTATTCAAATCTAAAATAGCAAAAGGAGGGGAGCAAAAAAATCACAAGGATGAAAAAATGTACACCTGAATCTAGCCATATCAGCAGTTACATTAAATGTCAGTGGTTCAAGCCCTGGCCAGTTTGGCTCAGCGGTTAGAGCGTCGGCCTGCGGTCCGGAGAGACCCGGGTTCGGTTCCCGCTAAGGGCACGTACTTCGGTTGCAGTTTGTCCCCGGCCCTGGTTGGTCGTGCGGGTGGCAGCCACTCGATGTGTCCCTTCACGTCGATGTTTCTCTCTCTCTCTCCTTCCTCTCTCTCCCTCCCACTCTATCTGTACAAAAAATGGAAAAATATCCTCGGGTGAGGATAAAAAAAAAAAAATGTCAGTGGTTCAAGCCAGAGGGTGGGCAAATTTTCCTGTAAAGGGCCAACAGATACAATATCTTAGTCTGTGGGCTTTTCTATCTCAACTCCAACTGGAGTTAGCCGTAGACATGAATATGTAAATGAGTGGGTGTGGCTGGGTGCCAATAAAACTTGGCTGGATTTAGCCTATAGTTTGCTGACACTTGCCTCTGAGTTCTAGACTAAATTTCAGATTTGTCTCTCAGGGTGGGGGCTTTTAAAAAATTCATCTTGTGTGGCGCTCGGTGGGACCTCTCCGCCCTAGGAAGAATGGATGTCACCTCTGATTCCACCTTCTGTTCTTCATGTTCTAAAGGGTACTGCCCCTCCCTTCTGGTTTATCCATCAGTAGAATCCTGTTTGCTTTCAATCTTCAAGGAAAAAAATCTTCCAAGTCTCTGGGCTGATTACCACCACCACCCTTCTCATTTTGTGATGAACCTACTCTCTCTTGTAAATCCTGAATGTCAGTGGGACTTGGGGAGGGAGAGGGGTAAATGTGTGAAGTTTCCTATCTGTTTCAGTATGTTCTATCAACACAGTTCTCAACCTGTGTGTAGCGACCCCTTTGGGGGTCGAACGACCCTTTCACAGGGGTCACCCAAGACATAACAGTAGCAAAATTACAGTGATGAAGTAGCAACAAAATAATTTTATGGTTGGGGGTCGCCACAACATAGGAACTGTATTAAAGGGTTGCAGCGTTAGGAAGGTTGAGAACCACTGCTCTAACACCTCAGAAAGCCCCGGTCTTTGCTTTCTAAATCAATTGCAGTCACATGTACGAACTGTCGCTAGAATATTCTCAGAGGGCAGAACCAGGTTTATTTTCTATCGTGTTTGCACATACCTAGAAAAAATGGCTGATTAAAAATTTTATGCCAGAATAGAACTAAACAATTTATTGCTATTGCTGTTTATTCTTAAGTACAACATTCTCGAGTAAAAACATCCTAAGACCCTAAAAAGATAGTATGATTATAATTCACCTTGTTGCTTTTTCTACTCTTCTTTTCCTCCTTCTCCTTTTTTAAAAAAACTTTTCTCTCTTCAATGATCACCATCTCGAGTTCCTTTCCCCTTCTTTCCTGAGTAAGTGGGTGTATTTATTTTAGTTCAAATTACTTTCCACCTGCACTTTTGAAAACCAGTCTAGTAAGTAGCTCTAGGGGCCATAGATCATGCAGAGGGCCTGTGGACAGGCCCCTGACTCCAAGGCACTCGTGACAAAAGGATGCCGAAGAGGTCTTAAATACTTTGATCTTTAACTTGAAAATAAAAATGTTTGTTTCTTCATTAATTACTTGGGCTATTTGTTTCAGTTCTGACCTGTTTCCTTGGGCTTTGTGAGAATAACAAGCATTTCAACACCATTACTAATAGTTATTAAAAGTCTAGCCTAAGAAATTCTTCTCAAGACTAGAAATTATAAAAATGTACTACAATATGAAAGTAATTAATGGCTATGCATTAAAAACTAAATATATAAGGTGAAAATTGATTTTATACAATTCAAATCTGTTAAATGTTATAACATTGAATCTTAATGTATAACATTAAATACACTATAGCTTTATGGCTGCTAGTCATCATATTTATACCTGTCAGTTCTGAAGATTGTTTTGGGGTGTGTTTTTTGTTTTTGGTGAAATTTTGTTCATTCTCTGACCAGCCCAGAAAATTTGAGTATTTTCTAGTAAAACAAGTAAAGCACTTTAAAAAATGTGAACAGAAAGTTTATTTGCTGGTATAAAAATTTTAAGTAACATTGAAAATTACCCAGGTAAATTTTCAACAACCTTGCTTTACAAATTGAAAGGGTCTTTAAATGTTAATACTGGACTTATAGTTGAATTCTTAACCTTGATGCGGTACAAAATTTTTATTAATAGTTTCTGAAGACTTTAATTTGCCACAAAAACAATTCTGACAGTTAAGTGAATATTTAGTCAGAAATACTGCTACTTTCAGCATTAAATATTGGGAATTTTTCCATCTCTGTTAAGCTTGCTATTGTCATCTGCCATTACATGATAACTACTGAGAAATGTGTATTTTAGTAAATCATTTGTTAGTGAGTAATATTTCATACAAATGAAAGCGAAGGAATTTCATACAGTCTAAATCTTGAGATTTAATACTCCAAAGAAAATATTCTGGATTTAAGATTTGTTTCAAACATGAAAAGGGCTTAGCTTTTACAGCACAGTCTTTGGCATGGGCTGGCTTTCCATCAAAGCCGAGTTCTGGGTGAGCAGGGATTTGGCTCTGTGGCCAACTCGCAGAATGACTTGGCATCCCAGGTGCTTAAACAAGCCACTTTGTCTCTGGTTCACTGATTTTCCAATCATAAAATAAGACTAATACTTCATGTGTATGGGTGTGAGGCCAGAGTATTTGTAATAAAATCACAGCCTTCAATAATCTATTCCTCTGCCTTCTGCTCCAAACATAAGAACATTAATGCTGTAGAAAAAAGGTAGTGAGTTCACTCCAACTAAACTTGACATTGAACTAAAAGATTATTTTAGTTAGCTTCAGGATTTAGCCTGGGAAGTCATCTTAGATGCTAATGATGGTAGAATTTCATAATTAAAGCAATTGTTTTATCAGTGCCAAAATATCTCATGAAAAGTATAACATTTAAAGGAACTCATATTGATCTAGAATGAACATTTGATCTTTTCAATTAATTGAAGAATAAAGTATTTTTAGCATAGCTATTGGTGGTGGTTGTTGTTTTTTTATAAATGCTTACTGCATCTTAAACAACTTGTCCTGTGAAAATTATTTGTGACAATTCACTTGAAATTAATCATTTTTGGATTTGTGGAGTAATATATGGGAAATGTATGTATGAGAGTGGACATACATCTATACACACTTTTAAGTGAGAATTTTTGAAGATTACAGAAAAGGGAGGGAAAAATGCAAGATTCAAGGCATGGATACCCTTACATGATGACAACTTACAATAAATGGACCGTGTCGTAGTAGTACCAGTGCAAACAGACACCTATTTTGTGGCGCCTGGACCACCTGTTGAAGGAGAGGACTCTGTGGAAGGTCAAGGACACAAAGCACAGGACATTTCAGGGTGGGTCAGCTCAGAATAAATAAAAAGAAAGATGCTGTATTTTTACCAGCTGGCCCGTAAGGTTTCTCCACTTCCGAGTGTGCCAGTGACATGTTCAGGAACTTGGCCACACAATGCCCAAAGGCTTATGAAGTGTTGAACATGAGTTGATCATAGTTATCATGTTTACAAACAGGTTTTGAAATATTTACTTCACAATCTATATAAATATAAAACTGTGCACAGCTGGACAAGAACACTGGTCCACTCGCCGAACTTTTTTCCAAGTTCCTTGACATCGAGGATTACCAATTGCTTGCCAGTGGAGAGTCTGATTTCTGGAACAATAGTTTGAAAATGTTATTTACACTAAAAGCAAACTGAAGACAAATCTAATTTACAAAATTATACATTGAAGTTTAAAAAAAACAAAAAGATAATTATCCTACACAGAGATTTGAAGTACATTGTAAATTGAAATTTTATAAAATGATCGCAAACCAAGTTTCCCTTTGGGTTCTATCAAAACAAGTTACCAGTGATCCCTATGAGGACACTCTATGCTAAGACAGTAGTGTAAGTCACTGTATTTGTTTCTATCTCTTGATCTGACTATATAAAGTCCTGTATAAAGGAAAATGGCTTCCTGTTTCATGTATACTTAAATTAGAGGGTCTGAAGCAAATCACCTCTTACAATCCTTTCCAGCTCTGATCCCATAATGAAAAAGAAAAAGAGAGAATTGGAAAGAGCAAAGGCAGATTACTGAAATTATTATATTTAAAGTCACTGGAACCTCAGCCAGGGTTTAAGGTACTTTATGGGTACAAATTAAATTATAAATTCATTTCAAGTCAAAATATAGATGAGGTATTCAGAAAAGTAATAAGTCTAAATATTAAGTTCCCATTTCATATGAATTCCTTACCCATTTTACTGTTCGTATGATATACTCAGTACAGAGGCCGTTAGGTAATAAGTGAAAACTCAGGTTATTAAGCATTAAAACACACTATGGGAATAATGAAGAACTAGAAAGGCCATATTGTACTTTCTAATCTGTGTTTTTACCAGTTCCATCTGACATACATAAAACCATAATCCATGCCCAGCACAAAGTATACCCTTCTCTTAGTTACAAATAGTGTTATCAGATGTAACTGATAAATGATTACAGGACAGGCATAGCTTTTCAAGATGGTGAAATGTTTTCAAGGGTCATTGTTTGGGACAATCAATAGATCTACGACCCTGCCACGCTGAGCCCACCACCATCGGTCATGGTCTTGGGCGCAGCGGCTCTGAACCTGCTGTGGGAAGGAATCGCCTGTGCAGAGGCCCAATCCGGCCCACGCAAAGCCAAAAATATCTCTCATCTGTCCCTGTATCAGAAATATCTGCTGACCCCTGACCTAGGCGATTGTTAAAACCCCACCCGCAGAGATTCAGCTTCAGGTGGGGCTGAGAAATCTGCATATTTTAAATCATCCCAAGAAATTCTACTGAAAGTTGTCTTCAGAACACTGCTTTGAAACAATCAGGTCATTTGGGAGCTGGGCCCAAACCCCAATATTCAAAGTCACCCCCTCACCCCTCATCTCTGGTAAAGAGCTGCTAAACCCCCCAGTGTGAGTGGGCCTGGAGTGGCAAGAAGGAAGGGACTCGCGCCTGGATATGCTGCTGACCGGTCAGCTGCTCAGGACACGCAGAGGACAGACCTTTCCAATGAGGAACAAGCCCTTGGAGCCGTTACCCTCCCTTACCCGTCCGAGTCCAGGCCGTCTCCGGAACAACGGTGGCTCACAGAGTTCATGGCTGGAGGTTGACAGTCCACACACACGGTGTACCCCTCGCGCAGGTACTGCATCCATCGCGTCAGCGGGCGGTGCTCCATGGCGCAGTGAGGAGTCAACCACTCGGTCCTGAACTCCATGCAGTATCTAGAGCAGAAGAGGGAGCACTTGCACGCGCTGTAACGGGGTGGCCCAACGCTATAGGGAGTCTTAGGAAGCCTGCTGTCCCCACGGACGTCTGACAAATGGAGACGGTCATCTGCACCGGCCACACACTGGCCATGGAATGCCCGGTGACAGGTGCACCCCTGCACTATGATGATGTCCAGGTGACAGCTGAGGCTCCTTTTCAATCCAAGACTGACATCTGGTCAATGTGGACCTGCAGAAATTTGGATATCCTGCATCCTGTCTGGCCTGACCATAAACTGTACAAAAGCACATTTCAGAAGCAAAATAGCCCTTGATAACTTTGCTCACATTTTTGTGAATTCTCTAAACTGAACAAGAGCTTGCTTGAGACTGAGAACGTGTGAGTCCCAGGAGGGCTTGTCCTTGGCACCCAGGCCAGCAGTGGTCCCACAAACCCTCCCAGGCCTGCCCACACTGCCCTCCCAACTCCATGTAGTTATTTTCACCCAAAGGCAATCAACAAGTAACAGAGGAAAACCCATCCCACGAGGTTGACTTCTGTAGGCTGACCTAGCCGTACAAGTGAAAACACATAAGTTAAAAAAAACAAAACAACAAGTTACCCAGCATCCTCTGTGTCTGTAGACCAGTTCGGGGAGGCAGCTTGTCTTGTTCGCTCCTTGTTGAATGCAGAGGTAGTTATGAAGGCAGGGACTGGAAAACAGGATGCAGCTCAAGTACTCAGAGTGATGTTTCCCAAACTTGGTTTCAAACCTGTCCAAAGCCCCCCATTTCTCAAGCCGGAGGTCTGTGGCACAGCATCAGGAGTGAAACGGGGCTCCGTGACAGTGTCCCCAGACCAGCGGATAAAGATGTGGGCACACACAGAGAGCGGGGAGGGACTGCGGGCCTTGGATCGGCGGGCTTGTCTGCAGGAATGATAGCACTGAAGAGGAAGGGCAGGAGGAACAGCCCAGAAGAAATAAACCAAATGATGGGGGGTGGGGGTAGACCAAGGAAAAGAGTAAGGTCATGTAGACAGGGAGAGGATATTTTTTTAAATGAAAGGTGAAGAAATAGAGAAGGATAGGGAAAGATCGGAAGAGTAAAGTAACAGAATAGAAAGGAGAAGGAGAAGGAAGAAAGGAGAGAGGAAGAAGACAGAAGAGAGTGAAAGGGGGATGGAAGGAGGAAACAAGATGACCAGAGAGAGAGGAAATGAGAAAGGGGGGAAACAGAAGCAAAGGAAGGAAGTGTGAGTGCTTCCCAGGTCTGCTGGTGACTGCCAACCACATAGCCCGGTGTGGCTGCCAAGTACCAGCCAGCGAAGCCTTCTCCCCACGTCCACCTAGGAAAGGAAAGTTCTTCCAAGTGGTCCTCTCCTCTCCCAGGCCTGCCCACACTGCCCTCTGCTCCTCCCACCCTACCCCAACCCTGACGCTCTGGGGGGGAGAAGAGAAAAGGAGCCAGGGATTCTTTCTCCCCACCCCTGTTCCTTCTGTAATTTTAGTTTGTGTGTCTCCTCTCTATTCCATCTGTAAGCCCAGGGAGGCACCTGCCACTCTAGGTAGCACCTGCAGAAAATCTTTGATTCCACTTTGCCGTCAACTCAAGGAAGACAAGGTTCTGCCTCGGACATCGCCGTGGCCCTTACACATTTATACACTCAAGGAGTGTGTGCAACAGGTCGATGAGTGAATGAATGAAGTCACCAAATTGCCACCAAGGCGCACGGGTCCCACTTCCCAGGATCTTGTTCCTGTACTGAGCCTCGCAGCTGAAATGGCTCAACAGCCCTTCCTCCCTGTCATTTCAGAAACAGGACCAACCTGGGATTGGCTTGAGGGTACAGGGTGCAAAACGGATGCTTCCAGCCTGCATGTTCATTCTACCTGACTCCGTATGGCCACAAGATGGCAGCCCTAATTCTGTTTTACATTTTCTTAGTGAGGAGTCATTTTTCTATTATTAGGGAATGAAGACCAGAGGGGCCTAACACCAGGCGGCCACTTGCCCTCAAGAGCTGCAGGTATTATTCCTGTCTCCTGCGGTTTGGTGCCTGGTCTCCCCAGTAAAAAGGCGCCCACATCTTGCCCAAGCCCTGGAGCCCCAGCAAGCAATCAAGCATTATTCTCCAAAGAATCCCATAGAACAAGAGAATGCCTCTACGTTAGGGTCCTTCTCGGTGTCTCTTAGACCTAATTATCAGAAACACAGATGTCTAAGGGCTTTAGTTTTCCCACGGACCGTTTTCATTTCTGTTCTGATGAATGTGTGTGTATTTGCTAGGTGGAGAGCGCATAGCATTACAGCGGGCAAGCGATAACATTTGGGGGATGTGTTTCTTTAGTCAAAACATTTACTCGATCTAATTTGTACTGCATATATTATCACAAAAGTTCAAAGGCAGAAACGCGAGTGCATGGCTCAGGAAAGGTGAGGTTAGGAAGTCCAGGGCAAGTATCTGACTAGTGTCTGATATAAAACCCGAAGAAAAGTTTCAGAATAATAAAAATAGAAGCTAACAACCACGCACTTCAAGGTTCCCGGCACGATGGGAAACGCTTTGCTTGTTCACTCGCTGACCCTCACAACACCCTCTGACACAGAGCCTGTCAGTCCCCGTCTCACAGATGAGGAACCGGCACCGAGGAGGGAGGAGAAGCGGCCAAGGCTCACGTCGATGTAGGGCAGTGCCCGGCGGCTCCCAACCACGCTCCTCATCGCGGGTCCAAGGTCTCCATTATAATGCAGATCACAAAGTTTCACTACTTTACAAAGCATATTTCCCACGAATAACTTAGGTTCTGCTTTATTTTCCCTTCCTGTCCCTGATCACTGCCTGTAATGGGAAGTGAGATCTAAGAGAGGAGAGAGGAAAACCTCACCCTCTGAGGCCGCTGGGGCCATGGGAGGGGCGGGTGGGTGAGGGCTGCGGCCCAGGGGCTGGGGGAGGGGGCTCACAGTGGGCACAGAGAGCATCTGTCCTCGGATGGCACCTTGGACGGCTGTAGCCTGCTTGCTTAGGAAGAACTTGCACATTTTGTGTTACTGATGCTCACAAAAGCTTGGTCAAGAGGTGTTCTGATGAGGTTTTCTCATCAGAATGCGGAGGCTCACAGATGTTGAAGGGAAAACAAAGTGCAAATGACCGAGCAAGGCCCCGGCACAGGAGGTGGCTTCCGTTTTTGTAGGACCCACTACCAGGGTCCAGGGTGTCCTGCCCCTCGGCCCCACTGAGAGGGTGCGACCCCTCCCACGAGTCCTCAGGGAAGACACAGGAGCCGGACGGCCTGCAGGTCTCTGAAGCAGAGCCATAGTCTGCCCCACAAATTTAACTGTCACTACTGAAGTAATTTAGAAATTATTTTTGTGTCCAGTCCCACTTCTGCTTATGCGTGGAAGCCCATAGCTGGGTGCCCAGAACAAAGACTCATTAACAGCCAGTTCCTCCTCCTTTCCCCTCCTGGCAACAACATTCAAACGTAATGGATTCTTTGTGACCAGGCTATTTGCCAACTTCCCTGGCATCCCATCAACCTACCATTGTTGGGTTTTACAACAACTTCCACTTCTAAAAGCACAGCCCTGCACATGCTTACTTTGAACATGAAAGTAAATTAAATTTGCCCTGAGAATTTCATAAAGCCCTCAGACACAGTGGGGGTGTCACCACAGCAGGCCTGGAACCCCCGGTCTGTAGATATCGGGTGAAAACAGAATATAAAGAAAAGATTGGCAAGTGACAGGAGCACGGTTGATAAGGCACACTCCCCTCCTCGCAGGAGGAAAAACGCATCCGCAGAATTGTCAGTGTGTGCAACAGGTACAATCAGGTGGCTTTGGGGGTCTCTTTCCATGATAAAAAAATATAGTCAAAATATGTGTTAAATGAAACAGGAAAAATGCGGCAGCTACATTCCTAAGAGTGTATCAGTGATCATTCCGCAGTCACGGGCCTTGCAGAGCCTCTATATTTCTACTTCGGTCAACGGGCATCTGTAGCTGCAATTTCAGCTCAAACAGTAACAGTTCACAGCAAAACAAGGCCAAGTGCGGGGCGGGGGCTGGGCTGACCCACAGGTTTAGGGCCAGGAGTCTAGGTTTAAATTCTGGCGGGCCCTTCGCAAATGCTGTCACCTATGTGAGCTCCCCGTCCTCGTGTGCAATCCAAGGATAATGACGCGGTTCTCCCGCCAGGACAGGCAGCATCACGTCCCCCCCCAAAGATGCCCATGCCCTGTTCCCCAGCACCCGTACGTTATGTTACATGGCAAAGAGGAATTAAGGTGCAACTCAGTTGATCGCAAAGTAGGGTGATTGTCCTGAACTGCCCAGTGGGCCCCATGCAATCCCAGGGGTGGCTGGAAGTGGAGGAGTCGGAGGGCCCTAGGGAGACGACGGGAGAGGAAGGGCGGTGGCCGCAGGGAGGCCGACAATGGGAAGGGCAAAGAGGGCAGCACTGTGGGCACTTGCTTAGCCCGGTGAGACCGCGTCTGACTCCTGACTTCACAGATGTAAGCTAATGCATTTCTGTTGCTGAAGTCACTAACTTTGGGGTCATTTTTATAATTTTCTGAGGCATTCAAAGAGGTGGTACCACCACAGCCTTGGTGGCTTTCTCCAGAACACGCTTTCCAAGAGCGAGTCACTGCACGGCAGGGTCCTTTGCCACTTTGCCAGGCTGGGAAGTTCCCGGTCCGTTCAGTCCTGCTGCCCTGGGACGAGTGGGTGGCCCTTCCCTCCATCTACCTCCTGGCCAGAAACCCAGCTACACCCTCAACGTTCTGCTTGCAAATCTCCCCAGCGAAGGATCAAGTTCATCGCTTACACGTTTTACTTTCCACATAACTGTGGGTCACCATCCCACCCCGCTAACGACAGCGACCCCTTCCTGCTGTGAAGGACAAGGGGTCCCCCCCCCCCGAGGAGCCTTCAGAAAGCAGCACAGCCCCTGACCCGCGTGGTTTCAGCCCGGGGAGCCCTGTGTTGGACAGGACTTATCCACAGCACTGTAGGGTAATCACTTTGAGACACTGTAAGCCACTGAGCTGGTGGAAATTTGTTCAGCAGCCATAGAAAACTCACACACTCTCTGACAGGACTGCTTTGAAGACTGAATCAATGGTCTGTGCCACCCAAATGGGAGGGGTCCATGCACCGGATAACAAAGGCTCGGTGAATGGGACATCTGGTGGCGGGGGAGGGGAGAGCCCCAGGCACAGGTGGGCGCCCCTTCCCCACACCCCCTCACCCACCTTCGCATCCCTCATGGCGCTCCCTCACCACCCCGAGTTCTGACTGACTGCGATGTGTCTGTCACTCAAGTTTGCGTCTCCACAACCCAGCACAGCGCTAGATGTTGTAGGTGCTCGGGGGATGGTAATAAAACACGTACATGAAGGCACAGGAGCTGGGGTGAAACCAGGCCTGGGGGGGCTGGAGAATCCACCCTTTGGATTTTCACGTTACCGCTCACTTCCCTCTGTGTTCCCGGGGTAGTCCACCACTTTCCAATGTGCATTCCCCAGAACACGCGTGACTTAGTGAGATGCCCCCTGGAAGAAAGGGTCATTGAATCAAGCAAGGTGGGGGGAATTCCATATCATCTCCCTCGTGTGGAATGAACATGCATTTAGCATAGTAAGGAGAGGTTCTTTGGTAGAGAAAATGGTCGAACCAATTTACCCCATATTTTCCTGACTCAGCCCTTTCTGTGGGGACTCCTGTCCTCAGGAAATGGTCCCGCTATGAGGCGAGGGGCTGAGGAAGGAACGACGGCCCCACGCTTGGGCCAAAGAGTGGTTCTGGGACTCTGGTGAGCAGCGCGATCCCCCGGGGGCCTCATTACCATGCAGAGAGCTGGGCCCAGCTCCTGTAACTGTGGGTCTGGACCGGGCTGAGGAGCCTGCCTTTCCAAGTGAGCTCCCGGGGGAGGCCGAGGCTGCTGGCCCAGGGCCACACTTTAGGAACCACCAGACTGGAATATTCCAGGTGACCTGTCCTCCCTGACCAGCTTGTGGCAGGAGCCATTGTTCTCAAGACATCCCCACAGGAAAGTGAATGTTGGAGACCAAAGCCAGGGCTGTCAATGGCCCTGTCCCAAGTACACATGTCTCCTCTTTGCCCAAACTGAGACATTTTACTTGACCTTATCGGCCAGGGAGGCCATTAAGTACAAATATCTCCCGTTGGGGTCGCTAACACCTTCTGGGGTATCACCTAAGAGGAATGCTGCTTCTTAAAATCCTATTGTGGAGTCTGGTGGGAGGGGTGGGTGAGAGGGGTGAGTTGGGAATTCGGGACAGTAGAGGGAGGGGGCCTGTGGGCTTTGTCCGCTGAGAGAACAGAGGTGGACATCTCCAGGCAGAGAAGGGAACCCCGGGGGCAGGGTGTGGGCCCGTGTTCCATGGCATTCTCTCCGTTGACCTTCCTGTCCCCTTTCCTGTTATCTGCATGGTCCTGTCAGAGCGCGAGGCGGTGCCAGCTGGTGCGTCACCCTGGAGGGTCAGTGTGCTAAGGACTACCTTCCAGCAGCCAGACTCGGTAAATGAATGGAGTGGCTACTTTTCCTGACAGGTTTCTTAACCTGTCCTGTCCACCGACGACTTCCTCCTGAGCTTCTTCTGCAGCGTTTCCGGATTTCCCTGTCACACAACCCTGCTCCAGGACCAGCCAATCGAGCTCGTGTGTTCCCACATGTTTTCCCTAGATAGGCCCCAAAGCCCTCGGAGCCCTCTACCTGACTACCCGGTTCACCACGCTGGCCTCTCAGCCTCCTCCCCAACCCTCAGGGAAATCCCTCCCCTCCCAGCTCTGTGGCTCCCTCCTCCCCCAAGACCTGGGGAAATCGGTTAACACACACTCATGGGTCCGCACTCTCACGTGGTCCGTACCAGTGGGACCAAATTGCAGCTGAGATTTCCTGAGATTGATTTCCCAGGATGATCCAAGGAGCACCTCCGCCTCCCACTAGACTGTGATCTATCTACACGACAGTGGGCTCCATGTCAACATTTCTCGCCGCTGTAACCCTGGCACCCGCCAGTGCCCGGCACCAGCAGACTGGCGGGAACATTCGTGTGTGGAATGGAAAAAGGAGCACAATGGCTTGATGCGGGTCATGTGGACATGAAACTGTCCAAGTTCCTATGAAAAACACAGGCTCGCTGCTCTCCTGAGAATCCGTGCTTTGCTCTAGCAGGTTCCATCCGGGTCAGAACAAAAGTATGGGTCTTTCTGCTTATTTCTTTGTGAGCGTCTTGTGGCTCCCGACCCACTAAGGAGCCAACTCCTGGCCCCTCCACAGGCCACGCCCCAACCAGAGTGATCTTTGCAAACCACAAATCTGATCACATCTAGTTGGTGTGAGAGGGGAGGCAGGTGTTTTTAGAGAATGATTCTATCATTGTTTAGAAATGTACAATGTTTCTACTATTTTCACTGCATGAGAGTGTTGGTGGTTACAGTGGAAGGTGAAATAAAGTCATCCTTACCAGACACTCACTCTGCGTGTGAGATATCATCTCTGCACCTACTGTCCTTTGTCACCAGCCTGATTGAGTGTGCTAAAAACCAGAGTCCCTGCACTCGGAGAAGGAGCCGCCACCGGGTTATAAACACACCGAGGAAGCAGCAGGGATGGGGCTGGGGGACACGCACGCAGCTGACCGGTAATTCCTTTATCAAGCATTTCCTGAGCTTCCTATCTTCTCCCTGCAGACCAGCTCATCCCACTCGCTGCAGCGCGGAACTTTCCCCGCTCAGCACCTGGTCCTTCGTGGGCCCAGGCAATGGAAAACTATCAAAGACCCCAAAGGCAGCCCCATGCAAACCCGTCTTTACCGAAGGCCTGCCCGCAGTCCCGGCCCTGCCGCGACCAGTACTCCAGGCAGCCGGCTCTCTCCTCCAGGGCGGGGCAGGGCGCCCCGCCGTTCAGGGGCTCCTGCTGCACCAGGCGCCTCCGCACGCGGGCCGCCGGCTTGCACTGGTCCGCGCAGCCGCTCCACGGGCTCCACTCCCCCACGACGCACGGGCGAGCTGAAAAACAGCACCAGGGCACGGTCACCCAGGGGACGGTCACCCAGGGAACCCAGCCAGCCGCCTGCCAGGCTGCGCCCACCCATGTCCCAGTGGGTCCAGCCCCCGTGAAGTGCACTCTGACTGAGCCCGGCATCTGGAGGAACACGGCCTCAGCAGGGCCCTGCTGACTTTGACTCCACTGCCCTGATGGTTAACTGATAACCAGGGACCTCCCAGAGCAGGCGGAGGTTGGATCAGGGAGGTGGGTCTGAGCCAGGGACACACCTGAGTAAAGAGAGGTGCCTTTGGGCACTTCCTCATACTCCCCAGGCTGAGATCAGATCTGTGCTTTGGTTTTTCCTTGATTTTAACTGTATCCTCCCTGGGCCAGGACGTTTTTATTGTAACAGATATACACATTCATTGTAGTAAATGTAAAGGAAAAAAACAAAAGCATAACAAAGCACTTGTACTTCACCCACCAATAACCCCATCACCTGCCCAGTGAATTTCAGCTCATGTGTCTTCAGAAGACACAGCCTTAGGGCCACACCAAGAGACCCCTGCACTCTAGGGTGCTCCCGGATGCTGATTCCCACCCCCCACGGGTCATCGACTCATAAACGGTGAGCACTGAAGCTTAGACATGGCCAAGCAGGGCCCACAGAGGTCAAGAGCGCCATGGTCACCATGGGGGCAGTCAGGGTAAGAATCTGGCCGGAGCATTAACATCTTGCCCTTGACTGAAATCAATGTAACTGTACATTTAGCTTTCCCACTGAACGTCCTAATGAGCCTGTGAAAGGACTGTAATGAGGTTTTAACTGAATTATTTCAGGGCTTGAAACTGGACATAAGACAAGGCCAAGAAGACAGAAGATGTATGCACCTCTGCACTCGGGTGCCAACACCCTTTCTCTCCCACAAAACGTGACCCACTTTTCCTCTCTCATCCTTGCGAGTCTGCAGAGACTTCGCCAAGAAAGCACCCTAACTTCTTTGAAACCTTGGTTTGGACTTCTGCCAGGGCATACTTGAAAGCTCCGTTTGCACGCTCCAGTGTGAGGTCCGTGGCTTTGGGAAGGCGTACCCTTTGGCAGCGAGCACACAGCTACCCGGGACGTGAAAGGGGTCACACCCAACAGAAGCACCTGTCAGTAATTTAGACATTTCAAACTGTTTTAAAACAGGTTTTTATTAATCATCTAAAAACTCATAGCTTTCCCATGACTCACGGGTCAACTACCTAAAGAAGCAAGAATGAGCCGTGTCAAAGTTTTTCCCAATATCCGCCACGCACACATCCTTTGGAAACTCAGTAACGGGTCGTTTCCTGCTCTTGTCACGTCTTGTTGACCCCTCCCTCTTCATCTTCAGGATCTCATGATTAAATTGGCCCGGAGAACCACAAGGTATTTAAAGAGACAGCCAAGCTAGGAGCTGGGTGAAAAGGACTCTGTCCTTAGTTTTCAGTAACTCTTCCCACCTTATCTCTTCCTCTCTGAGTGTAGCTAATGCTGCCCTCACGTTTGGGTTTGAACAACACTCACTAATACATTTTTTTCTTAAATACACTTATTTTAAAGATTACCATTTGGACATGACAGAAGTTAGTAACATGGCTTGGGTTCTACTCCATCCACGTGGTAAACGTAGCACTGGGGAGAGAACTGTATGGCCGACATTAGTCTCCCAGTGTTGCTTCAACATGTGTGTCTCGTGTCCAGTGTTCATGGATTGTATTCTATTTGACCCGCAATGAAAATCCCCAGATCACAGAATAACTGAATCAGTTGTCGTTCCTATTTGGTTCAAGTTTGTCCCTGGCAAAATGCGATGTCCCGTTTCCCTACTCATGACTTTTACAGCTTCACAAAGAGAATCCTTCTGTCTGGGGCCCTGAACAACAACACCTCAATGGCTGCATGGTGAGACAGGAGGCAAAAAGTTTCCGTAGAATTACAGGGTTCCAAAAGCTGTTCCACAAAATATTTTGAGTTGGAAGATTCATCTGAGGTATTTATTCCTGTTTCTCTCTCTCTCTCTCACACACACACACCCCAAATCTATTCTTGATTAACTTGTGAACTTTTGATGATTTGGATGGAAAGGCATCGTAGATCACAAGCGATCTTTGGTCACAGAGGTCAGGGGAAGTACGAAAACTTCTGAGACTTATTACCACGAGTCGTATATTACGCAGCCTGACACAGATTTCCTTCTGCGCCGTTCCGTGCATGCTCCTTCCCCTTCCCACGGAGCGTGTCTGATTTACAGCTACACGGCACATCGGAACATTCTTTCCTTCACATCTGACTTTCTCAGTCTTCACATTTCACTAAGGTTCCTGGGGCCCCACCGACGGTGGCCTGGTGAGCAGTGGGATCACCTTGACCCCAAGCTGGTCCCGGCTTCCTGGTGTCTCGATGTTGGGAGATGACATCACCCCACTCATTTTAGGGGACAGGGGCCTGGATGTAACGGGTGCCAGGAGCCTGGCGAGCCCTTTGTTGGTTCTACTTTGTTTAAATTCAATATACTATTCAGGTGGAGTTTCCCCGAAGCAGATCTGACATGTGGATTTGAATGCAAGTCATTTATTTGGGAGGTGATCCCAGGAAGCATAAGGGACTGCAGGGCAGAGACAGAGAGGGAGGCATGGAAGAGACCCCAGCGTCCTGGTTTAGGCCCGGGGGGCACCTCTGGCCCTTGGCTCACTGGGAAGTGAGTGATGGACAAGTCCTGAGTGTGAGGAGGTAGCAATCTCCCTGAGGCACCGGCCAGTGCCCTTCACAGCCACGGGAGAAAGGCCCAGAAGAGAAAAGTAAGTTACGTATTTCAGTAATGAATCTGTGCTCAAGAGGAGGGTATCCAGTTCTGGCCACGTAAAATGCCCTTAAAAGATACACCACTGCCCAGCTGGTGAGGCTCAATTGGTTGAGTGTCGTCCCATGTCCCAGGTGGTCCCCAGTTCGATTCCCGGTCAGGGCACCTGCCCAGGTTGCAGGCTCAACTGCCCAGTAGGAGGCGTGCAGGAGGCAGCCGATGGATATTTCTATCTCCCTCTCCCTTCTTTTCTCTCTAAAAAAAAAATCAATAAAAACGTATTTTTTTAAAAAGTACCACTGATGCCCCAGCCAGGGTGGCTCAGTAGTTAGAGTGATGGCTTAAGCACCTTTGGTCTTGAGTTCGATTACCAGTCAAGGGCACATACCTCGGTTGCAGGTTCTAGCCCCGGCCCTGGTCAGGGAGCATGCAGGTGGCAATCGATCAATGTGTCTCTCTCACACTGATGTTTCTCTCTCTTTCTCCCTCCCTTCTTTCCACGCTCTCTAAAAACCAATGGAAAAATACCCTTGGGTAAGGATTAACAACAGCAACAACAAATGTACCACTGATCTTCTAAAATAAATAAACGGCTTATCAAACTCCCTCAGTGACATGCCAATGAACTAAAATGAAATTCAGACTTCCTGCCTTGTGTGTGTGACCGGCCCGTGCCTGCCCCTCCACTCCCACCTGAGCCCCCACCCCACCCCACCGCCCACTGCCTCTGTGCCAAGCTCCAGCCGCTCCAGCCTCCTGACCCCTGGAACACCCCAAACTCTTTCACACTCTGGGACCTTTTGTTGTATGTTCACTTTGCCGGGAATGTTCCTCCCACACTGGGCACGGCTGGGTTCGGCTCAGCATTTAGCCCCAGATGAATTACTTCCTCTTCAGGGAGTCCTTCTGGGGCCAACGTAGCTAAGTTACCCCCAGCCCCCTGCACACACCCCTCAGAATGATTTCCACTCAGAGCTCACTGTCCCTTGCTCTCCAGCATCTCCAGGATTCACAATTACATATTTATTTTTTGTTGTTGCTTATTTTTGTTGAATTTTTCACTTCATGTCTAGTGCTTGGCACTGGGTAGGTACTCAGAAAATATTTGCTGAATGAATGAATGAAGAATGAATGAATGAATGAAGAATGAATGCTATTGGGCAAGTTTCTCCTTCTTCTTAAGTAATGTTCTCCATTGAAACAGACTCTGCTTGCCCTGGCCGGTTTGGCTCAGCGGTTAGAGCGTCGGTCTGCGGTCTGGAGAGACCCGGGTTCGGTTCCCACTAAGGGCATGTACTTCGGTTGCAGTTTGTCCCCGGCCCTGGTTGGTCGTGCAGTGGCAGCCACTCGATGTGTCCCTTCACATCGATGTTTCTCTCTCTCTCTCTCTCTCTCTCTCTTCCTCTCTCTCCCTCCCGCTCTGTCTGTACAAAAGATGGAAAAATGTCCTCGGGTGAGGATAAAAAAAAAAAGGAAAGAAACAGACTCTGCTCTGCTCACATCATTAGGCAGAAGCCAGAGCACCGACAGAGACCCAGGGTGCAGGACAGGAGGCGCGCCCAGAGCCAGGAGCACGGGCCTCCCATGGCCGGAGCTGCCCTGCCCTGGCCGGCGGCCCCGGGGCTGGAAGCAGTTCAGCCGTCTGTCTGTCCTTCAGCTTAGGCAGCGCCAGCTTCTCCTGGCAGCCGCCCCTCCTTCAAACCCTTTTCAGTCCCTTTCTGTCTCCTGCCAGTGCCGCAGCTTGAATGTGACAAGCTTCTTGAATGTTGTTATCTGTGGTGTGAAGTGGTTTTTCATTTTACCTAAGCCGAATTTCCCTCAGTCAAGAATTTCAGAATACGGTGCAAAACATGTCTGTGTCTATCTTCTGTCCACTCAGGGACTTCCGGTTTCAGCAGGTCCCCTTCCCTCCAGGACAGACTTGCAGGCTGGTGACTCCAGCTTTTGGACCCTTCTGTCTATAGACACTTCCTCTCTCGAAATTACCACTGGCCTTTCACTAGGTCCATTCACAGCCCCAGCGAGTTGTGGCAGCCAGAACTACACATACTCTTTAGGTCCCAAAAGGTAATTAAAGAAATATATTTTTATTGATTTTTTAGAGGGAGAGAGGAAGGGAGCAGGAGAGAAACATTGATGTGAGAGCTGAACATTGATCGGCTGCCTCCCGCACACGCCCAGCCACGTGCCCT